CAATTTTTCCTTCTACACAATTTGCATGCGATCATCCGAACGGCTTCATTACAATATGTTTAGCAGCATCATTCGGGGGACGATGAGATTCTTTAACACCAATCCATCAGGAAGGATTCTAAACCGATTCTCGAAGGATATGGGCTTAATTGATGATATGCTACCGGTAACCATCTTGGACAGTTTTCAGTATTCTTTTATGTTGTTGGGGATAGTTGTGGTGGTCGCTACCGTCAATCCATGGCTTTTGATACCAACTGTAGTCATATTCGTTATGTTTTACTTTCTGAGGGCGTTTTATTTGACTACTAGCCGCAATGTGAAACGATTGGAAGGAATCGGTATGTATCTACCCAAAGCGAAGACAGTGATACTTATTGAATTTTCAGCAAGAAGTCCTGTTTATGGACACCTGAATGCGTCTCTACAAGGATTGAATACAATTCGTGCACTACAAGCGGAATCCATTCTTATCGACGAATTTGATGGTCTTCAAGACTTACACACTGAAACGTACTTTTTATTCCTTTCATCATCGCAAGCATTTGCTTATTACTTAGATCTCAGTTGCACAGTTTACATAGCCTTAGTAACTTTCAGTTGTCTCCTCGTCGAAAGCTGTACGTATCTTTACTAGCATGTGTTCACGTTTTTAATGATGAACGCCTTTCAGCTATGTCAGGAGGAAATGTCGGCTTAGTCGTCAGTCAGTCCCTAGGACTTATAGGTTTATTCCAGTGGGCGACGCGACAATCTGCCGAAGTAGAAAATCAAATGACATCCGTTGAACGAGTGTTTGAATACCAAAAAATAGAATGCGAGCGATCTCAAGAAATCGAAGAAAAAAAGCCCTCGGATTCTTGGCCGCAATTCGGTGAAGTCAAATTCGTTAACGTATTCTTACAGTATTTCCCTCAAGATCCTCCCATTCTAAAAAATTTGACATTCACAATTAGACCGCTGGAAAAAGTTGGAGTTGTTGGTCGAACCGGAGCGGGAAAGTCAAGCCTTATTAACGCCCTCTTCCAATTAACTGATACTAGCGGTTCCATTTTAATTGACGGAATCGATATTCAAAAAATCGGATTGAGCGATTTAAGATCGAAAATTTCAATCATACCCCAAGAACCGGTACTTTTCTCGGGGACCATTCGTAAAAATCTAGATCCATTCAGCGAGTACGCTGACGAAATGCTGTGGAAAGCGCTTGAGGACGTTGAACTGAAAGATGTTATTAAAGAGTTAAGCCTAGGTAATATACAGTTACTCCAAAGCAAATGAAATTTAACCAAACTTTTCAGGATTGAATTCCGCCATATTTGATGGAGGATCGAACTTGAGCATCGGTCAACGACAATTGATCTGCTTGGCGCGTGCGATTCTGCGCAACAACAAAATATTAGTGCTAGATGAGGCTACCGCCAACGTGGACCCCCAAACCGATGGTCTTATTCAAAGCACTATTAGAAATCAATTTTCCCAATGCACAGTCATCACGATTGCACATCGCCTAAACACTATTATGGACTCCGACCAAATTCTGGTGATGGATTCTGGCACTCTCGTCGAATTTGGTCACCCACACACGCTTTTACAAATTACAAATGGAGTGTTTTATGGAATGGTTTTACAAACCGGACCGACGATGGCCAATTCATTAATGGAAATTGCCAAAAAGGTTGTACCGTCGAATATTGGGATTTCTTTAACTTGTTTTTTTTTAGAATTTTCACAACACGTCAGAAACAAAATGAAGTGATTAGCATTAGGAACTTTAGTTTAATAATGTTTTTGTGCGTATTTTTGTCAGTGAAGTGATGTATTCAATAAACTAATAAATCCATCTGGTAAAATTTTACAACTGTATTCCAACTAAAGGAAAATGTGGGGATGAAACTGCGTTCTTCACGGACCGATAACGGAATCGCCAGGCGATATGTTATGATTGTTATGTCGTGGGAATTCCCGAACATATCACTCACTTCTCGAAGGTGCTGCCCAAAATTTTTTTTGGCGGTAAGGCGTAAGCTGGGTCTCGGCGTAATTTCGTTCTTCTGGGTATCGCATCGAAGAAGATTTGCTTTTAAAAAGGCACGGCTCGGTACTGAACAGACGTATCTCTCCTTCCGGATATTTTATTACAATAATGGCCGTTTGCACCGACAAATTTAAGCGGAACTTAGCTTAAGCAAACAGCCATTAATAATTATTTATGATCCTATTTATTTACATGTGAAATGAAATTACACTTCTAACCGCAATTATTACTTTGTATTACTAATATAATAATATAATAGTCCAGTCAAATTACGGTTTGGGCTCGATGTTGTCACTGCACTAAACGAAACCAAGCGTATTCGATGTAAAAAAATCCGCTAAATCCGAAAATCATAGCCCCCCTGGCCGGAAACGGCCGGAACATATTGTTATTAACAAAAAACGAAGAAAAAATGAGGAGATGTGTTTTTTCGCATTTGACTTCGAATATCTCGTTAACTGTTGTTATGAGGGAAAGAATGAATAGAAATGAACTTTTTAGAATAAAATTTTCTATAAGATTTATGGCCGTTTGCACCGACAAATTTAAGTGGAGGTTAGCTTAAGCGTAGCTTAAAATCCATGGCGACGATTATTGAGACAATGGTTGCCATGGATTTTAAGCTACGCTTAAGCTAAGCTCCGCTTAAATTTTTGATAACAAAACAATATGATATGACAAATCAGATCACCGTAGGTTTCCTAGTAATTTATTAATTGAATAAACAAGTAAAAAAAGGATGCTTTGTTTTTCAAACTGGGTACTACAAGAGAGTTCTCAATTTTTTTATACACAGTTTAACTCGAATTAATACAAATCATTCATTTTGGTGAAATACAAGCATAAAAAAGTTCACGCTTTAAAGAATCGATCGGTGCGACCCGATTTGCAAAATCATTTTTGGTTGTTTCGAAAACTGGCTTCAAAGTCAAAGGCTGATTTCTCGTGAACTGTTAATCGGATTTGTACGTATTTTTTTTCACCTATTATAGAGTTACATTTTTTGTTTTTTTTGTTATATTGCGAGAGTATTCCATCTTCGAATTCCGAAAAAAAATTTTACAGTCCGTCGATTTGCAAGAATCATCGGGACAATTATTGGAAAAGATTGTTTTAGGGTTAAACCTCGGGTTAAACTATGTATAAGAAAATTGGGAACGCTCTTGTAGTCCCTCACTTTGAAAGACAAAGCATTCCTTTTTTAATTTGTATATTTAATTAATCAATTACTATGAAACTTACGGTAATCGGGTTTGTCACCTGACTGACTGAACCGCTTTTCATTTTCTTTATAACAAGCTTTTGCATTTGGATTTTGCAGGTACCAACTTTTTCTGCTTCTGCAAGTGCAACAATGCCACTGAATGGACTTCAACCGAAGTCGTTTTACTTACAACGACTTTATAAGCAAACGTCAAGTGACATTTCCATGACAATCATGGAATTGTGAATGATAAGCCCACTTAATGTGTGTAAATATGATTTTTTAGGCTATCATCACAAAAACGTTGATTTTGTGGTCGCTTTTGCGGCCATAAAGTTTCACTTTATTGTACGCTTCTGTCAAGCTTTACTTTAGTGTACACATCTGTCAAACTGTACTTATTTGAAACTGATGTGTGAGAAACAGTAACCTGTTTCATACAAAGCGTCTATCTGGTCTAGCCCCATCAAGGATTGGGTCATCTACGTGCGTTTTTTTCATTTTCGGACTTGTATAGGAATGTTTCACACTATTTTGCATAATCACAATGTTCACATTTAAAATTATAGTTTGACGTTTCAATCTTTGCTGCTTGGAGAACTTTTTGAAGTGTAGGTAGAACCAAAACATGAGGAAGATGTTATTGCTTACATTATTATACGAAGAATCACCAGCAATTAACCGAGAACACAAGTAGCTATCTATACCTACCATCAAAGTAGGTAATCAGGTTTCCAATAATTGTACAGCATGTTAACTATAAGGTCTTGGAAGCTACAGTTACGAAGAACCTATTGCATTTGACATTATTAAAATCTTGTGCAACGGAGGAAGTTGCGATTGTACTTTTACTCTCAAACGCCTGCTCTTATATCATACGTATATGACTTAGGGTCGCAACGCTTCCAGCTTCCAAAATTTCATTTGGGGTATCTGAACTGTCGCTATCACCCATTTTGATACGCACACACGCAAAGATGCTAATTATAATTACATAAGACAGGAAATGCTTTGTTTTTAATTGTCTAAGATAACTATGATTTTCAGAAAAAATATGTTTATGAGCAAATTTTTGAATTCTTTTTTGATGATCGCCTAAAAAATGTTGTGTGCAACTTGGCCAAAAGTGATTTGTTAGGCCTCATCTGAACAGCAGCTTCGGCCAAAAAAGATCACTTTTACGGCCTTGGTACACAAATAACTATTATTTTATTTGCCTAATTTTTAAATTATATATTGCAGGAATAATAAAAAATAATATAAGAAACGCGTGTACAATTGGTCTTTAAAGCACTTGCAACTTTTAAAAGTACTCCGCTATATTTTCCGCTGTTTTTTAATATACTATTATATGTTACATCATTAAAAAAGACGGTAATAAAAGACTTTTCACATGTATATTTTTACATAATTTTTCGCCAGCTTCCGTTGCAATTTTATAATTGTTGATGATGAACGATCCAAATGGGATATAGGTACGAGTATTTTCGCCCATAATCGCATTATTATTAATTAATTGCCCAAAAATTGACCAAGACAGAAAGAGCATATAAGTTCATTATTTTGGGTGTCAAGGTAATGTAGTTTGCCGTTTCCTTGATGAAATTGGTAAGGAATTGAAAATTTGCTCTACCAACTTGATGGTATGACAGAGAGAGCGCAATATTTAACTCCTTTGAGTCAAAGCAATGTGGTTAGCAGGTTCCCTGATACAATATGAAGATTTTTCTCTATACCAACTTAACCAAAATTGGAGTATGACAAAAAAATTAATTTCTGTGTATTATGTCACTTTTTTTTCCGTTTTTCCGACAAAATTACAGATTACAACAGATTACAGTAATTGACAGTCTTGTCTCTAATGTCTCGTATGTCCGTAAAAAACGCTGAACCGTACACCACGAATTTAATGTAACGGAATTTCAAATTACATTTTACTAGTACGTTCTTCCATCCGATTGTAGTTCTGCAACAATATTCTAGGTAATCAGAAATAAAAACGTACACATCTCACCTCCTCCGCTTGCTCGAAAAGAGCCTTTGCCATACCGGTTTGCGAAACCATCTGATAAAATGCCCCGCTTGGATTTTGTAGAAGAATGTGTGGATGACCAAATTCACTTACAGTACCTTCATGTATGACCATGATTTTATCCGAGTCTATGATGGTATTTAATCTGTGTGCGATTGTCAGTACTGTGCATTGGGAAAATTGCTTCCGAATGGTCTTTTGGATGAGCGAGTCGGTGCAGGGATCCACATTCGCGGTGGCCTCGTCAATTACCAGCAGCTTATTATAATTTAAAATTGCACGGGCTAAACAAATGAGTTGTCGCTGACCTACACTCAAGTTTGAACCTTCCGCCGACACCAAAGAGTTTAAGCCTAAAATCAAGAGGGCCATTACGGTAATAGTCGTGGAATTAACCTTCTTTTTACCAAAACCTAAATCTTCAATTACTTTTTTTAATTCCACGTCCTCCAGTGATTTCCACAGGGCGTCATCTGTATACTTGTCAAGCGGATCAAGATTTCTTCGAAGAGTACCTAGGAAGAGGACTGGTTCTTGAGGTATTATGGATAACTTGGATCGAAAATCTTGTAAGTTCATTTCTTTAACGTCGAGTCCGTCAATCGTAATTAATCCACTAGTATCGGCGAGTTGAAAGAGTGCATTGATGAGTGATGACTTTCCTGCACCAGTTCTGCCAACTATCCCCACTTTGTCTAGTGGTTCGATTGTGAATGACAAATTTTTCAGTACAGGGGGCTCATCGGGGAAATAGTACAGGTTCACATTAACAAATTCGATTTTACCGCTACTGGGCCAAGTGTCTGGGGGTACACCTTCTGAAGCTCGTTCGTGTTCTATATCATTATATTCCAGTATTCGTTCCACTGCAATCATTTGGTTTTCCATTTCCACGTTTTGTCGCGTTGCCCACTGGAACAGATTTACAAAACCTAATGCTTGAGTGATTACCAAACCGACCGTTGCCCCATGTATAACTGAAAGTTATCCTGTAATTCGCTATTACTCTGCATACTAGCTACGTACAGCTTACGAAGTACATGCTACCGAATATAATTGTGCACACGAAAATTAAACAAACTACGTCTAAGTAATATCCAAAAGCCTGCGAAGACGATATGAATAAAAACCATGCAGCACTGTGCAAGTCTTGATGTTTGTCAAATTCGTCTATCAATTTAGACTCAGCTGTAAATGCGCGAATTGTAGTTAATCCTTGAATAGATGAATTAATGTGTCCAAAAACTGAACTTTTGGCTGTAACAAACAACGATGATCCTAATATGTTGCAATTTACCATCAATACTTACTAATTCCTTCCAAACGCTTGGCTTTCCGGCTAGTCAGCAGGTACAAAGAAGCTAGTGATAAGAAAAGGAAAATTAATACTGCAATTGGAACCAAAAACCAGGGAGTAGCAGACGAAATAACGATAATCGTTCCAATTAACGTAAAGATCATATGTATCGCGTGCATGGTTATGCTTGGTAACGTGTCATCGATCGTTCCCATATCCTTTGAAAAGCGATTTAAAATCCTCCCGGACGAGTTCAGATTAAAGAATCTCATTGTTCCCCTGAGGATACTATTAAACATATTATAGTGTAGTCTTGTTGATGATCTCACGCATAGTATGACAAAAGAGAGATTGCGAGTAATTGCCACGATTATGACCAGAATAATAATTCCCGTGTAACTGTATATGTAGGTTGATCTAGAAAAATTCCAAAAGTCTCTGGTAGTTTCGTTGCTGGGGTAGTTTTCGTATCGATCGGAACTTTTTTCAGCGGTAATCACCCTGCGAACAAAAGGGATTAAAGCTACCGTCGCAAAATCTAAGGACTCTTACCAGTGCGCCATAAAAACTTCCGAAAAGCTTATAATGGATTGCAAAACTACAAATAACGATAATACAAAAACCACAACAAGCAAATGTGATCCGGCGCATATGTACTTTCTGTAAACATGTCTCGAAATAGCACCCGTCGATTTGTTTTCATCGGTACTGGTGATCAGTTTATGGACACTTAGTGGTTTTACAACGTTTGACTTTGTCAATGCCTTTTCTTCTTCCTTGCCGTGGAGTTGGAGAAGTTTGGCAAATTCTAAGCCAGACTCTTGCAGTTTGGAAAATGTATCCTGTGCTTTCACGCGGCCGTTCTCCAGAATTATAATGCTGTCTACGTCTTGCAAAAGTTGCAGATGATTCGTCACGAGGATGACAGTCTTTTTTTGCAAGAAGTCAGTAATGCAGTTTTTGAATATTTCTCGTCCAACTTCTGCGTCTACTGCTGCTAGAGGGTCATCCAGTAAATAAATGTCCGCGTCCCGATAAATAGCTCTTGCTAAACTGATTCTGGCACGTTGCCCTCCACTTAAAGTAATACCTCGTTCACCGACAATAGTCATATCTGCATTTTCGAATTGCGCAAAGTCCGTTTTCAAGGAACATTTACTGATAACATTTTCATAACGCTCTTTCGAGTATGGATGATTAAATAAAATGTTTTGTCGAATCGTACCATTGAATACCCATGGATCCTGAGACGCATAACTTAAACTACCATGTATTTGCAGGCGACCTTCTGCTAGTGGCAGTTCTTGCAGCAAAAGTTGCAATGTGCTGCTCTTACCGCTCCCCACCGGACCAATTATGGCAACAGTTGCACGGGGCTTTATTTTAATGTTAACGTCTTTCAATTCAAAGCTCGTGGGTGATTCGTTCCATCTGGCTAAGCCATTTTGAATGAAAATTACATCTTTGGTCTGTACTGTTTGATTTGAATTCTGATTCATGAGAGAAACCGGCATCCTTTCTTCAAGACTTAAAAATCGATTCAGTCGTTTGAAAACAACAGTAATTTCCGCCGTTTGGAATGCAGCTTGTGGGAAGATAGTGCAAGCACTTTTACGAAGAATTCCAAAATAGGAGATCAAAACATAGATCTTCTTTGCTGTCACACTTTCGTTAAGTGCAATGCAAGCTAGAACCGAGACCAGGAGGCAGAGTAGAGGCGAAATTGGGTTCATAGCCAAAACAGCGATTCGTACACAGGACGCTGCTTTGATTAACTTAATTTCATGTCTACAAAAAGAGAGGTTTACAGGTGAGATGGGCAATCGCGACCTTACCTTCGTGCAGTTGATACAAATTTGGCAAACGGTTTTTCCCAAGCGTACATCTTTACAAGTTGTATACCAGATATGATCTCATTCATCAAACGTATCCTTTCGTCTGTTTTTTGTGTAGCTTTGATACGCAATTTTGCAACAATTTTTGAAGAGAATACTGTAACAGTGCTCTACTTTTATACCTACTCCCAATTTCTGATATTGCAAGCTAGGAAAAGCATACCATTAACACAGAATGTACAGAAGAAAAAGGGACTATACAAATGTACAACCTAAGTATGTGATATATGCGACATATTAACGTTTCAAACTCCAAAATTCTAAAACAATCAACCTGAAGGGGTTTAATTGTCATCTTAGCAAATCAATAGTAGATATACATTAGAGTAGTATGCTGTAAATTGTTAACGATTTACTAGCTTGCAAAATATCGCGAATTGTGACTTTTCTTACATTGTATAGGTATGTAGAAAATTATAACAGCTACCCCACAAATTGCCGAAATTCCCACCTCTTTGTACATGAGGTACGATCCAATAATCACTTGTAAAGGAGTAGTGAGAAGATAGGTTGAGAATTGACAGAACACGTCAAATCGGGCGACATCATTCGAGGCCAAGTTTATCATTTGACCAACGGTCGTCTTTCCCAGACCTGTTTTACTTAATCGAATTGCTTTTCGGTAAATCAGAGACGTACACGCCACCCTTACTTTCATTCCTATCTCCATATATCGCAAAGTGGTAGGTGTTGTCGTCAAACATGAAAATGCGGTGCATAATATCAAACCTATTGCATATAAATAGGATTTGGACCGCTGTGACGAATAATATCCTAAAAGTTCACCTAACAAAATAGGCTGTGACAGTCTGAAATACTCAACTGTCAGTAATCGTAGATACGCCCGTTACGTATACCTTACACTGCTCCCAATTCGGCGAGCATTGTCACAATTAGGTTCCCCGTTATCTGTACACCGAACATTTTCAAAAGTACTCTTGCAAGAGAAGGTTTTCTGTTCCATTTTAAAGCTTTAGCGGTCTCTAATCGCCACAGTTCCTCAATTTGGTCTCCTAGTCGTTTCGAGTTGTGAGAAGAAAGTGTTTTATGCAAATCTGATACTTCTAATTCTGTTTTTCGGTTTTTCAGAAATACGGGCCATGCGTACCTAAAAAAATTTGTGAATTTGTCTCCATAGAAATTAAATACATATCAGATAGAGCTAACGGAAAAATGAAAAACTGGCCCTTAGTAGATAATCGCTAGTATAGCTGACGCCAAATTAAGTTGGGTATGACTCATTCTTAAAATTGTACGGATTAAGATTCAAGCAACGTCAGTCGTATCTAAATCGACGTTTAGGGAACTGTTACTATTTATAGTAGTGAATTATTAAAATAGAAGAAATGGTTGTTATAATTATCTCCACTTATTTGAACCTATACTTAATGTAGGTAAACACACCGATCCTCTGCATTCATTTATAACATGCATTTCAGGCAGAAAACTGGCAAATCAAATGCGTTATTCTAAAATGTTGAACATTAGCTACGAGCAAGGTTTCACAATATCGTATACAGTCCTCTTCTTTCGGCAAAGGTGATTTCGTAACGAGACATCTGTATCTGTACATATCGTGCTTCAGCTTATGAGATTATGTCAAGAAGAAGTCAAAAACAATTTCGTTATACTTATAACAGATGTTCAGTTCTAGTTTAGATGCTACAAGATAATTATAAAGTTACGTCAATGGTTTTCACAATTTCATATGCAAGTTGTTACAATTTACCGATTAAACTCTCCACAAGTGCAAAGTAGTTTTTTAAAAAAACTGTTTCTTGATGTATTGAAGTAAAAACGTAAAAATAAATGTTAATCAGGTAAACACGAAATGACAGAAGAAAAGCTGAGGAATGCGCGACATACGTTTTAGACCGCCCGTGTGAATTGTACAGCAGACTCAAGTTACGAATTTCTATCCTTCTCTAGCAACCGTCAATCTGTGTGAGAGGCACCGTTCCATACGCTAATTATTGCAATACATAGCGATGAGTCATACCCAACTTAATTTGGCGTCAACTATACCTAATCGGATTTCACGGCCAGAGGCTTGCCAAGGAAACTTAAGTAAGGCATAATTTTCGGTTTCACAAGTTGTAAATGTATATGTGATAAAGATTAGTGTACAGGATCCCCTCTTTCGTTTTTTCACTAAGATTTCGAGCATACAATTTTTTTCATGTCTGATATTTTAGGGAGCGAACCTTCATATTTCGATACGGTAGGATTATAAAAAAGCGGAAATTTGGGCCCTTTTGGGCAAACGACTCCCTTATAATCACCTTGCTTCTCATATTCATTATTACTATAAGCATTGAATTTATAACTATAAATTCAATGCTATAAGCACTGTTGGTAAGAATGCGCAAGAATACACTTGATCTTTCAATAAAAAATTAATTTTTTATTCAATGACTTGATGTAATAAATAGTGTAAGGGGATAATAAAGGTGAAGCCCTTTCAAATGAGCCCTATATCGCCCAAATCGGTTTAGTGGTGTACAAGGAGTACGTGTGACGGAATACACTAAAAAGCTTTTCGTTCCTATTTCCAACCAACTGCCTCAACTTATTGTAATGACCTCCTCTATCAATTCGTTACTGCTATATTCTGTATTTCTAGACGAAAAAATATTATTGTCCAGCTTTCCGTTTTTTTCGTTACATGTACCTACCCAATCTATGCAAACCTGTAACCTTACCTTATCCTTATAATCATGAAATCATAATATAGTACCTACTCTTAGCTGGGTTTTTTAGATCGGTGGTAATCCCACTGGTGTCTCATGTGTTTCGGATACTCAATGTCCAGCTCTTGACACATAATAACGGACGTAATTCAAATAATTCTAATAGAAACGAGAAGTCAAATCAAGACTTGAATTTTGAACTTGCTATGGAAAGTTTCTTGTACTTAATTGGGTCATTAGTGGAAAGCTTTTGGTGGAAATAATCGAGAGATTGAACTTGGTGCTTCAACATGTTGTGTAATGTCTAGTTAGAGATGCCGTCAATAAATTACGCAGGTTTTGGACCCCCATTATCCGTTATGTGTATTGAAAACGTTGCCTCTTCCAGTGTTTTTTTATCCCGTCGATTTCTATTCCGGAATATTTTGTGTGAATAATCTTCGTGCTTAACAATGTAATTGTAAAGTCAGGGAAAAACAGCTCTTTTGCTTCATCAGTTTGAATTTAAATAATGTATAAATTCTCTAAGTAATCGCGATAGTCAGACTGGGTTCTCCAGTACAGAAGTTGATGCATAATGCATGAAGATCTTAGTAGCACATGTCAACACAAATTAGTATTAAACTTTTAGCATGCTTTGAATGTTATTACAAACCAGGGGGTAAACACCAGGGGAAGTAATTGTACAGAATGGAGGAAGTTATGAGGAAGTACAGGGAAGTACGGGGAAGTAACGAGGAAGTACTAATTTGTTCATATGATGCGTAATGTGACAGAAGGTGACCGGAGAGGTAAAATCTGGTAAACACTTAAAAAGTAATAAAGTAGTTATTTCTGAGTGCATAAATCCCGCCTCGTTCCAAAAAAGTCAACACCTATGATTGTGATTATCTATATAGATAGGTACCTAAAATCAAAACCTGTTGTTTCACTACTAGCGTCTGATAACATAATTATTAACCTTTTTTCCACTTGTAAAGCAGGCTTTCTCGCCAGTTGTTCAAAGTAGTTAATAATGTGGTCATTATTAACCAGTAGTCAATAATGAGAACTGTCACACTGTCAATTTTAGAAATCACAACCTGAAATTTCGCTCAATAAACGTTCAGATAAGTTCTCTAAAATGAATAATTGCCACCATCCCCCATTTCAAGAGAAATTACATACAATTATCACATTTCGAAAAAATTCGAACGAAACTACTCTTTGAAAATATCTCAATAGCAGAAGAAAATACGGCCTCCTTGACTGTTACTTCCACCCACGTAATTGACATATTAAATTAATAAACCAAAAATTCTGTTCAACCGTTCACTTTTTTAACAATATAGATCTGTTAATTTAGAGGACTTCAAGCACTATGCGATCAAAAATGAGTTGCTGTCGAGTCGCCTTTGGAATTTTTGTTTACATGGTAAATCGTACTTAACTTGAATTTCCAAAGGCGACTCGATAGTAACTCATTTTGGATCGCCCGTTACTAGTAGTGGAAGAAGTAGTATACAGGATGTCTTAAATTGAGTAGATACCTTACATGGCCATCTTTGTTATTATTATACTTACAGATTTGGTTAAATTGGAACAGTTGTATAGTTTTTGATGCTAATGGATATTCCGATTCCGATGCGAGATTTTGAAAAAATAAATGGTTTCGTAGGTAATTGATAAAAAATGAAAAATCGCCATTTTTAAAAAATTCAAATATTTTAGTAACAAACAGAGCTAGCTAGCGAGACAACTAACGAACGAATTTGGTTTCAATCACAATCGGCCATGGAATTATTGCCATAAGAAATACATTGTAAACTTCGAGGCAAAAATGCAAAGTTGATTACCAAATGAATTACTAAGTGTTTAGTATCACTGGTTTTGTAATTTTTTCTCTATGGAGTGACTTAAAAATCCAATATGGCGTCCATTCAAAACAAGGAAGTTGATGTCAATATCTCGAAAACCGCCATTTTGAAAAAAAATTCTATTGAATATCCGTTGAATTTATCCGATCGAATCTTGCAACTTTTATTTGAAACGATTTTGACATTTTTCCAATTATCTACTACGAAACGAATTATTTTTTTCAAAATATCGCATCGGAATATGCATCAACATCAAAGACTACACGTAAACTTTGCCAATTTAACCGACTTTGTAAGTATAATAATAACAAAGATAGCCATGTTATCCTACTCAATTTAAGACACCACGATAGAGAAGTCTGTTACGCACCTTACATCCCTCGGCGCAAGCGCCTCGGAGTGTAATCTTCGTGCTTAGGCAATAATACTAGACTTCTCTACCTTGGTATATAATGTACTATTACATAATCACATAAAATATCAATAATATCAACCCCTAACCTAATAATGATTTAAACAGAAATTTTGAAAAATCTTGAATACCTTGAAAACCTTTGATGCTGGGTATAGGGAAATGTGGCATCAAACGACGTAGATCTTCATGTAGATGACGGAAATAAAATATAGGGTGTTCTATTTAAAAGCTATCCACATCCGTTAAAACTGGAAGTGACACAATGATGATAATATTTTCTTTCGATAGATCATGGAAAAATATATTAGTATGCACATTTTCAGATTTCAATTATTAATGGGAGTCGGAATACTTTTAGGTAACGGTTTGCGTGATTACCGATAAATTAGTATCCATCTATAAATTATTGTTCCGTACATATGTTTTCATTATAAAATTTTGGAATAAATGCTGGCAGGACAATTATTTATGTCTTAATTTCTTTCATATTAAAAATTCTTTCAAACCTCATGTAAATACAAAGGTAAATATTAAATAGGTAAGTGTGAAAATAAATAATGATTAACACTTATCTAATTTTTCATTTCATGTATAGTATGCATTTCACATCCATTCGCATTTCGCATATAATGCATTTTCGTGGACACGTTATAAGCGTTACTACGTATAACACTCAAGAAGCAAATCTAAAGTCTATATCAATGTCTACTTACAGTAGAATTTCGGGAAAGTACAAGGGAAGTTTGGGGGAAGTACAAGGAAGTACTGAGAAGTACGGGGAAGTATGAGGAAGTATAAAGGGAAGTACGGGGAAGTATAGGGAAGTTAAGAGACTTCCCCCGAAGGGGAAGTATTGTACAAATTTTAGGTCTAGTGATTACCCCCTGTTACAAACTCATTGACCATTTACTTAGTTAAATTAGAAACGCAACTTTAAGCACTTACCAAAACGTTAAAATTGAGATTATATTTGCATTTTCTCTAGGGTGCAGGTTATCACTTTTGTACAGTTCGGAATCCATATCAGGTAAGGAAAGAGCACCTATACTACATACCTAACAATTTAGAAAATAGCAATCTTGTATGTCTGTCTGGCTGTATTATACCTAGCGATTTTCTCAAAACATTCCCCACTATAATGCTTTCGAGACAAGACAATGGAATTTCCTTGAACGTCAATAACAGAAAACAATTCATCAATACAGAAATTTGCTTACAATGAAGTAATTAAACGGCATAGGTACCCAATTAAGCTTTAGTATCTATGTAGTATGTTTTTTTGACTATTCCCATTTCTGCTAGGTATACCTACAACATTTCAACTACTACTGAATGATGGGGCCACAATTCCTTGTCTGCTACATAACCTTGAATCTTCAATTATTTTTGCGGTATGTATGTAGATTTAAATATATAGATTACCATATTCCAAGAACCTTGGCTTTCCCTACCACACGGCCGGTTATAGGTATATTATTATTATACCTATCCAGAATCCATACGTTTAATGGTACCCATTTTGACGTTTTGGAGCTGAAATATTAGCAGCTGGATTTTGGGCGGACATCCAGATTTCAAATTTACATGAACATTGCATATTAACAAAAATTTAATTTCGCAAAATTCAATAATTTGTTTAAGGTGTAAACACAAACCAAAATTTTAGATCATGGAACATGCAAATTTTGTAATTTGAAATTCTCGAAAGTGTATAATTTATTATAGTCCTTTTCAATCCAAAATCTAAGAAGTGCGGGAGCGTTTTTAGTATCTGACATATTTGGAAGGTATCATTGAAAAGTCGGGTTCTTTCGTTTTCTACGTTCTTATAATGCTTAAATATCGTCGAATCTTGTGGCCAAAGCCAACATTATGGCTAAATTTTTAACTGGACGGTGTGACCATGTGCAATGCCAATTTTCCTATTTATGAAAGCATTTAAATGAAATTTCTTATGTAGACATTTCGAATAAAAGTAAAACTAATTCCCATTTCAAAATTTGTTTATACCTACATATTTGTATAAATCAATAAATTTATACGCTCCACTATTTTCAATAACCTGTATTAGACTTCGACGATAGGCGGCTCATTTGAAGGAGAATGGGGTAAAAATCTAGTGCCTACCGGTATTTTTTCCAGGTCCTAGCATTAATATTATTAGGAGGGAAATACCCTCTCGTCATTTATGCTTGCATAATAACTTTTTCACTTGTTTGCTTGGTAGTGATTTCAATTAATTAACAAACGTCATTATGTTATATACCTAAAGGCAAATATACATACCAGCCAAGGGTACAGCCGGTAATTTTTTAAAATTATTTACAGTGATAAGCGCATAAAGGAATTTTTTTTAGTTAGTAGTCACTAATTAACAAACACACTAGGTTATCTACGCAAAAATATACCATTTTATCAGAGCTGATAATTCAACTATCCTCCTTAGTAGTTGATGGTTGTAGTAAATTATAATTTTGTTTTTGGACATGTCATTACTTCAAAGTAAAAAAAGGCTATTGGCTGCACTTAATTGTCCGTCCGTTAGTCCGTACGTACGTCACACGCACTATTTCTATACGACTGAACCGATTTGGGCGAAATGCGTACCGATATTTATAGCACGATTGTTTAACAAAAGCCCCTGGGAATTTTTTTTTCAAAACATCGTGGTAGGCAATGCTTTCCTATTGACGAAGTTATTTAAATGAACTTTCATATGTAGGTATAGGTGCTTCGCAGAAAAATAAAACTAATAACTTGGCATAAAACTAAAACTATAACACCAGTTTCAAAATTCGCGTAGGTATATTTGTGTACCTACGCTTCACTATTAGGTACTTACATCAATAGCGGCCATGTTTAAAAAAAACCTTAATTTTTCAATAAAGTACAAGGTTATCAAAAAGTAGGTAAAGGATGTATTTCAGATTATTATGTAGGTATATTTAACAAACTAAGTAAACAACAGAATGTGAAATGAAATCGATTTCTGAATTCTTATGTCTACCAGTGGTTAACGTAAATGTTCGATATGTCTTTCACTTTACTGATTGTACGATTACCAACCGTTCCTCCAAATTGTACACAGCGTTATTTAGCACAATAATTGTATTACAGTAAAACCTAATTATTAAGGCAACTAGTTACCATTTACTTTTTGCTACTAGCTTAAAGCTAAGTATATCTCAAAGGGACCACATCAAATATCTTGGTGTTACCATTGACAAACACCTAAGATGGGACCATCATATTACACAACTTGTGATTAAACTAAAGAGATATGTTTATCTGTTTAGAAAGTTAAAACGGTTCTGCAATGAAAATTCATTAAAAATTGTTTATTACGGCGTTGTGCAATCTGTGCTGGGATATGGTTTGTTAGCGTGGGGTGGGGCAGCTCACAAATACTTAAATAAGTTAGAGGTGGCACAGAAGCTAATAATCAAAATTATGGCTAAAAAGCATGCACGTTACCCTTCTCAATTGTTATTCAAGGACACCAACCTTTTTACAATAAATCAACTATATCTTCTCTCGGTATCTCGATTTATATATAAAAATATTAATAGGCTTAAGTTAAATTTTCCCCAACACAATTACGATACAAGGACAAAAATAAAGAATTTGGCGTATAATTTAAAAATACGGAAAAAAGTTGGTCAATCTTACTTCTTGTATTATACACAAAAGCTATATAATTACCTATTAATCTACACAAATTTGTCTTTCCCTTTAACAATTTCATATCATGCGTTTATCAAATTTATTAAAGAACTTCTCCACAATAATTTCTCCCATCTTGAATCACAGATTTGTTTATTTTAACGGATACTCTACCCTAACTCTTTGTTTTTTATCACTCTCAACTTATGATCGGTTCAAAAAGCGTTATCTACGTACACCTTGGGGTGTAGTGACAACAAGTTTACTTAGTCGTTACACCTAAGGACGTTACAAATGATATTTTAGTTATTTTCATTTTGGACATTTTTTACATTTACATTTATACATAGGTTATAGGTTTCTGTTACAACAAGAATGTAAATAAATGGTTATTATTATTATTATTGTCGGTGTATCTTGTGAGAACTCAGGTCTAGCCTGGTTAACTAATCGCACGGATTAAAATCAAGTAACGATTAGTGTCTGTGTCTGTGCCTGGTGAAGTTATGTAGGGTCCTTAAAAAAAAAAAATAAAAATCACACACGTACATTGGACATCTAGGGATACTATGTAATTCGTACTTACCAACATACCTATTGATGGGCACAATAGCCAACGCTATCAGGAAAGAGGAAAACAAAACAAAACAAAAAAAAAATCATTATAATAATTCCTGTAATTTTATTAAATGGAGTTTATTGTGTAAGTGTTTCTTTGGCTTTGCGTTTGGGTTGAATACGAGTGGGTTGTGATAACGTGGTGTGCTTCTGTGAAGAAGGAGTTTTGTGTTTTTTAATTGTATTTATGGTGTTTCTTTGTTCCTGAGGTCGTATTTGTGAGGTTGCTTGGGTTTTTGGTGGAGATATTGCAGTATTTTGTGAGCCTGTGTTAAGGTTTTTGTGTTTCGGTTGTATACGAGTGGGTTGTTTCTGAGAAGAAGGAGTATTGTGTTTTTTAACTGTGCTAGGGCGTGTAACTTTATTGGGTGGACCTGTCTTTGTAGTGCATGTTGCGTTACTTGTATTTATGGTGTTTCTTTGTTCTTGACGTTGTATTTGTGTGGTTGCTTGGATTTTTGGTGGAGATATTACAGTATGTTGTGAGCGTGTAGTTCTGTTAAGGTTTTCGCGTTTCGGTTGAATACGAGTGGGTTGTGATAACGTGGTGTGTTTCTGTGAAGAAGGAGTTTTGTGTTTTTTAATTGTATTTATGGTGTTTCTTTGTTCCTGAGGTCGTGTTTGTGAGGTTACTTGGGTTTTTGGTGGAGATATTGCAGTATTTTGTGAGCCTGTGGTGCTGTTAAGGTTTTTGCGTTTCGGTTGTATACGAGTGGGTTGTTTCTGAGAAGTGTTTTTTAACTGTGCTAGGGCGTGTAACTTTATTGGATGGACCTGTCTTTGTAGTACATGTTGCGTTACTTGTGTTTATGATGTTTCTTTGTTCTTGAGGTTGTATTTGTGAAATTGCTTGGGTTTTTGGTGGAGATATTTTAGTATGTTGTGAGCCTGTAGTTCTGTTAAGGTTTTTGCGTTTCGGTTGAATACGAGTGGGTTGTGAAAATGTGGTGCGTTTCTGTGAAGAAGGAGTTTTGTGTTTTTTAAATGTGCTAGGGCGTGTAACTTTATTGGATGGACCTGTCTTTGTAGTGTATGTTGCGTTACTTGTATTTATGGTGTTTCTTTGTTCTTGAAGTTGTATTTCTGTTGTTGCATGGGTTATTGGTGGAGACATTACAGTATTTTGTGAGCCTGTAGTGCTGTTAAGGTTGTTGCGTTTGGGTTGAGTACGAGTGAGTTGTGTTTGTGATAACGTGGTGTGTTTCTGAGAAGAAAGAGTATTGTGTTTTTTAGCTGTGCTAGGCCGTGTGGGTGAGGGCGTCTTTGTAGTGCGTGTTGCGTTACTTGTATTTATTGCGTTTGTTTGTTCAGGAAGTTGTGTTTGTGTGGTTGGTTGAGTTAAGGGTGGAGATATTACAGTATGTTGTGTGTCATGTTGTGAGTTTAAAGTGCTGTTTAGGCTTTTGCGTTTGGGTTGAATACTAATGGGTGGTGATAATGTGGTTTGCTTCAGAGGTGAATCTCTGATTGTAGTATATGTTGTATCATTTGTTGTACTTGTTTGTTCAGTAAGTTGTATTTGTGTGTTTGTTTGGGTTAGAGGTGGAGATATTACAGTATGTTGTGTACCGTGTTGTGAGCGAGTACTGTTGTTTACATGTATACGTTGTGGATCATTTGTGTATGTAGTATTTTGTGTTATGTTTAGAAATTTACGAACAATATGGCATGTGTTGATAATGACTGCTTTTTGTAAATGTTTGTATGTGTTTTTGTCTAAACCTAATAGTTGTAAATTGTGCTGTATTGTCTTTGGTATAACTCCGGTAGCACTAAGAATAATGGGAACTATAACAGTAGATTTCATTCTCCATTGCGTCTTAAGCTCGATAGCTATATCGGTGTATTTGCGGTGTTTTTCTACATGTGTTTTAGTTAAGTTGTTAGTGTTGGGGATGGCAATGTCTATAATACAAATGGATTTTTGTGTTTTATCTATAAGTGTAATGTCTGGTCTATTATTGTGGATAGTTTTGTCTGTGAGTAGTGTCCTGTCCCAATATAATTTGTGTGTGTTGTTTTCGAGTATGATCTGTGGCGTGTATTTGTAGTATGGTCTCGTATCTGTTATGAGATTGTGTTTAAGTGCTAATTTTTGATGTATGATTTTAGCTACCTGATCGTGTCGATGTTTGTATTCAGTTTGTGCAAGTCGTGTGCATGCCGATATTATATGTTCGATTGTTTCTGATGTTTGTGAACAAAGTCGACAAGAATCATTTGTCACTGTTTTATCTTTATGTATGTGTTTTTTATAGTTGCGTGTGTTAATGACCTGGTCTTGTATTGCTAACATGAAACCCTCAGTCTCCGGAAAGACATCACATTCAGACAACCAACTGTGCGTTGCTATAGGGTCAACACAATCCTGGCCAACCTCTTGTGGAAATCGTCCATGTAAAGGCTTTTGGTTCCATGTCTGTATGTTATTTGTGATGTATGTAAGTTTGGATGTGGGTGGGAGTACATTAGTTTCGTGTAGGTTAAGTGGTGTGTTAGATTTGTCTGCATATGTTACTGTTTTGTGTAAGACTGAAGTATCTGATTTGTTATAAAAGTATTGTCGTAAATTGTGTATTTGTGTTTGGTGTAATAGTTTTATATCTGTAAGTCCTCTATCTCCTTCCGAACGAGGAAGGTAAAGTCGTATAGTGGAGGAGAGAGGGTGATGTATATGGTGTTTTGTTAATAGTGTACGTGTGTTTCTCTGTATTTGTTCTAAATCTGTATTTGTCCAACGTATAATCCCGAAAGAGTATGTAAGCACTGGTATGGCATAAGTGTTAATAGCTTTGATTGTATTTCTACCGTGTAATTTTGTTGTAAGTATACTGCGTACTCTTTGTAGGTATTGTGTGATAAGTGTTTGTTTTATACTCGTATGTTTAATGTGTGTGTTTTGCTGAAAACCAAGATACTTATAAGTTTCATTCTCGTCCATGGAATTTATTAAATTACCCTGTTCGAGCTCATAATCTAAAAGTTGTCTTTTACCAGCTGTGATGTGTTGTGTTTTACATTTATCAATTCCAAAGTCCATTTGTATGTCACGTGAGAATGTATCGGTAATGTGTAGAAGGTGATTAAGTTTTATGCTTGTGGAAGAGTATAATTTAAGATCGTCCATGTAAAACAGGTGTGTAATGTTGTGATGTATTTCGTGGTTGTGTTTAATATTGTACCCAAAGTTAGTAGTGTTTAACAAATATGAAAGTGGATTAAGAGCAAGACAAAACCAAAGCGGACTTAAAGAATCGCCTTGAAAAATGCCTCTTTTAATTTGTATTGGGTCAGTAATAAGTTTTGTGTCGTTTAGTGTAAGTGTTAACGTAGTGTTCCAACATGACATTATGTAATTGAGGAATTGTGTAATATTGTTGCTGACTTTGTATATTGAGAGTACTTGTTGTAACCAAGAGTGTGGTACTGAATCGAATGCTTTTTTGTAATCAATGTATGCAGTGTGTATGTTTCGTTTGTTATGTCTGGATTGTTCAAGTATTACAGAATCTATAATGAGTTGCTCTTTACAGCCTCTGGAACACTTGGTACACCCTTTTTGTTCTTCGTATAAAATGTTGTTATCAGTACAGTGTTGGTATATTTTGTTGGTAATGCATGATGTAAGGATTTTGTATATTGTAGGAAGGCATGTAACTGGTCTATATTTAGATGGGTCTTGTGTATTGTTGTCTTTTGGGAGCATGTAAGTGATACCTTGTGTAAAGAATGCAGGAGTGCGATCTGGTGAATTAAGAAGTTCAGTAAATTGTTGCGCAAGGTAAGAGTGAGTGTAGGTAAAATATTTCCACCAAAAGTTGTGAATGTTATCAATGCCTGGACTTTTCCAGTTATGTAAGTGATTAATAGTTTGAATGATGTCTGTTGTAGTGATGTTTGTGTTATTCATAGGGGTAATGTATTCAGTGCGTGTGGTTTCTGTGGTAATCCACGGGGCGTGTGGATTGTGTTTAATGTCTTTGGTCCATAAGTCAAACCAGTATTGCTGAAGTGAGTGTAGAGATGGTGGAATGAGTTTTTCATTAGTGCTGTTTTGTGTTAGTGATCTGTAAAATAGTTTTTCGTTATGTTTAAATTGTGTGTTATGGCGCTTTGTGTCTGCAGTTTCCCTATAGCGTTTTAAACGGTTTGTGTATATTGATAGTTTTTGTGTGAGTGTATCTCTATGTTCGTTATAGTTTGTATTTTGTTCTCGTGTCGTGTGATTGTTTAGTTTTGTAGTTATGTGTTGTACTTGTCGTGTTAATTTTGAAGAACGAGTTCCTTGTATGTATTGTGTAATTCGACCCAAGTCACGTCTGATGTCATCGATGCGATTTATCAGGCGTTTTTCCCAGGCCGGGGGTGAGCGTTTTTTTGTTGTGTGCTGTTGTTTGTTTATTGCTATTCTTGCACCGTTACATCTAGAAACTGCAACCGCACCGCAATACACAACAAAGTGTAGTTGATGTAAGCTTGTGTTATCGTTAATGTAATTTGGTAAAATGTGATCATTTAGTGTTTTTGAGAGTGTGCGTAATTTTGTAGTGTGACTTTGTTTAGGTATTCGTGGTCTTTGTGTTGGGTCAGTGTTTGAGAATTCTAACAATGCATTGTCGAATTCTTTTTGAAGGGATGTGAGTGTTTGGTTCGTGTGATTATTTGTATCTATCGATGGCTGCAGTGTCGCAAATGTCTGTATTTCAGAGTTGTTTAGAACGGATGTATTATCTTGTACGGTGAGTGTGTTGTTTGTGTTGAGTAGTGCTTCAATTTCGTGCCTGATTTGTTCCTGTGTGTCTAATGTAAGGAGTGTATTTTTAATAATAACTCTACGTTGGTCTGCAATGCGTTGTTCTGTTAAGTGTGCTAAATGTGGGTATTGTGTAATGAACGCGTGATAAAGTTTACCTCTGTATGCTGTCCTGTCCGTTTCCATCTTCGTGATCTCCAGATACGTACCGAAAATGAAGCGATTCATCCCTTCGTCCCATTTCATACGTCTTTTGGAGGTATCCTTTGCGCTGGTCCCATCCACAAGCGGTTGAGAAGCAGGCACAAAGGTCTCTTCATGGCGGTCCTCTTCAGGTGGTCGTTGTCCTCTTCGTAGTCTTCTTTCGGCTGTAGAGGTTTCGGGTATCCCGACGAGCGGCCGCCTGTTCACCAACTCGTCACTATATATTATTATTATTATTATTATTATTATCGGTGTTTCTTGTGAGAACTCAGGTCTAGCCTGGTTAACTAATCGCACGGATTAAAATCAAGTAACGATTAGTGTCTGTGTCTGTGTCTGGTGAAGTTATGTAGGGTCATTTAAAAAAAAAATAATAATAATAATAATAATATCACACACGTACATTGGACATCTAGGGATAATGTAATTCGTACTTACCAACATACCTATTGATGGGCACAATAGCCAACGCTATCAGGAAAGAGGAAAACTAAACAAAAAAATCATTATAATGTGAATTTTGTCACGCGGTTTAAAGTTTCCTAAAGCTCGAACCACGATCTCTCATTTTTGTGTCGCCAATAGCAACTCGACCTATGAGAAGTGGCCCAAAATTAGAGCTATTTTAGGAACGATTTTTAGCGAAATCTACCAAAACGGGTGAACGGGACGCCGGAACTGGCTACCAACCAAGGGAATGTGGTATCCCCCGATAAGATCTTACTGACGGTGGAGTCAAAACTTCAAACGCGAATTACGGGTGAACGTGATGTAGGAGGTGGGTACCGACAAAAAAATGTGGTTACCCCCGACAAGATTTTATTGATGGTGGAGTCAAAACTGACTAATAGAATACTGATCTGCCACACAAAAATGCGCTGAAGTTCGTTCAACCTCACCCGAGGACTTTGATAATGTTTTTTAAACCATCGGACACAAAGTTACTCTTCGCACACACCATTCATTTATAATTGACATGCAACAATTAAGGAACAGTATTAATTATTGTCACGAGACAGCACAATAGTGAGGACAGTAGTATATTTGAGTGAGTCGAGGAAACTGCCTCAGAGTATTGTGTACTGTATGAAGAGCGGCTACTACATCAACTGCAGGTATGATCGCAACTTTATTTTTTGCTTTAAGAAATATAATTAAGTGGTTTGTTTAACTATTATAGATATTATTATTTTATAAACTAATCAAGTATATACATACATTACTTATTGAAGTTGCTTAATTATCCTTTGTTGTATCTATCATTTGCATTCAATAAACTCACTTAAAACGATGGTTGGCAATGAAGCAATTTAGTACAAGGAAATGAGCAATTAAAAAATTATCAATGAAAATAGTGTTTAAAAACAACATATTTTGTTTAATGTTTTTTACCTTAAACATCTAATTTCTATTTCCCTTCATTTTTAGATTTAATTGCTTTGGAGTAGCCATGAAGTATAGAGACAAATAGTATACTCCAGAGCGATTAGGCTAAATGTTTGTGTTGTTACTTGTTAATTTTGCAGTGGATGGATGTTAAAGTTGCGGATAAAGCCAACCTTTTTACTTTCAGGCGGATTTTTCCGAAATTTGTTGGGTTAAAAGACTGAAACAAATTTGTTTGAGGTTCGGAAAAAAGAATATTGTGGAAACGCGATTACTACTACATTTGTAAAATCTTTTCAAAGCTAGTAATTGTGTGCCATAACTGCTTTCTTTTTTGTAGATGATGAAAGATTAAATAAATAAGGAAGCAGTTGACAATTATATCTAATTGATTACACACGTTTCATTAATCTAAATCTACAGGATTATGTACTGAAATGTGTCTTTTGGCAAAGGAAAAACATTGATAAGACCAAAAAATAACGTGGTATTTACCTGTGTACACTACATACACATCCTTACCAGAGCTAACTTGGCTGCTTCATCCATTATCTTCGTAGGCGTGTAATTGCAATAAAGGACAATGAAGACGTTAGTAAAATTTTGTTTTTTTTACAGGTAACCTTTACGAAATGGATTTAGGGCTCTCAAAAAGTGAAAAGTCCAATCCAAGACAAGGCGCAAATATTTTTTCGATTTTAACGATATGGTAAGTTGATTCATGTCAAAAGAAACTTTTCACGATCCTGCGAAATGAAGTGTTATATTGCTTGTTAATAAGTTAATTACATCTAAATTCGTCAGTCTCGTCTGAAACTGACGGACGTTCGCCGCCGACCTCGGTGGTCATGTTTGTACGGCCTTTTGCGAACGCACATATTTTATGACCATATTTTTCTCCATACACAAGGTCAACTGGCGGTGGATTTCAATAGGGGTTGACTAATGAATCTTCACTGTGATTGCTGTTATAGATACTCCGCTACTACCTGCTAACAGTTTATTACTAGTGGTTTAAAATCAATCTAATCATTGCCCCATTTGATTGCGCACTGTTTTTAAGGCTAAAAATCGCGAGAATTTAGTATTCGACATTATTACTGGGGTGGGGAGGGGGGCATTCCGGATCGCTTATATTAATCAATTCTCAGGACTTGCTGATCCATTCTACACTGGAAGAATAACACCGCTGCATATTGTGATTGTTCACTTTTTTTGGAATAGGTACAGCATCCCGACATTTATTGCGGGTTACAAAAAGGATCTCGAAGTATCCGATTTGTACAAAACCTACACGGGCCATCAGTCAAAGTTACTGGGTGACCAAATCGAGAAGGTGTGGCAGGAAGAGCTGCGACGAAAAAAACCTTCCCTAAGACGTGTGCTGTTTAAAATCTATGGGGTCAGCTATTTACTGGCGGGGTTAATTCTTCTGACAGTTGAAGTTATTTTAAGGTAAGTGAGCGCGGCATGTTGCATTTTAGTCATCCATTTGCATTACAGGTTATCAGAACCTTTACTTTTGGGCGAAGTTATAGCACATTTCACTACAGAACAGACCAGTGATTCTCAAAACGTGGCATACGGATATGCTGGTGGTATGGTGGCTTGTGCTGTGTTAAGAAGTCTACTATCTGCGCCCTATCAAATGGCGGTATCGCACATAGGTATGAAGATGAGAGTGGCCTGCTGTTCCTTAATTTATAGGAAGGCACTGAGATTAAGCCAAACCGCATTATGTGGGACGACAATTGGGCAAATGGTCAATTTATTATCGAATGATGTCAACAGATTTGATTTTGCAGCATTATTCGCTCAACTTCTTTGGGTCGCTCCAATTCAGCTTGCGGTTGCTGTATACTTCATGCACAGCATTGCAGGACCGCCGGCGATATATGGTGCTTGTGTATCCCTAGCCTTAGTTGCAGTACAATGTAAGTAGCTTACATATTATCCATAACCCCTGCCCCTGTTGTACTCTAATCAGATTATCTACTGCAAGTCTTTTGACAAAAGTGAATATTTCTGACAGTACAATGCTTATTTTGTGCGATTGTTGTTCATATGGTACCAGATAAATGCCAAAATGCTAAGATGCTCGAATCCGGGTTTGAGTATGGAAATGGTTTCAATGCGACCAAGTCTCTACTTTAACGGAGGCGTGGTTTCATTTTTAATCAAAACTAAGGTTTCAATATCGACCGGTACGATATTTCTATCAATAGCCCAATGACTTTTCTGATGCAAATGTTTTCCAACGCGTCCAAAACAACTGCTGCAAGTGTTGCACCATTTCAAATTTTCAAATGGACTAAGTCCGGATCCGGAGGCGACGACAAAACCTGTAATGTTAAAAAATGACCTGAGAATTTGGCCACTTCTGAAATGATCCTTGAAATGCCTTTAAAAATTTACTCCTATCACTCCTATCATATGCGTATCATTTTTTATAAAGCCAACGCCTCTGTTGCTAATAGTAGCTACTAGGTAGATCTGCAACATAATCGAGGAATTTAATGTTAACCTCTCCAATTTTAATTCCCCCAGCTTCCATACTTCTCTATATCATTGATGGCAAAAACTTTCGGAGTTTTAGTTCCATCGAGGATTGAAACGATTCAGTCAGCCCTCTTGACGCCATACTGCAGAAGTAGTCTCCATAGGTATATGCAAGTTTTGTTTGCCGCACATTCCTATATTAGTCCAGTCAAATTACGGTTTGGGCTGGATGTTGTCATTTCACTCAACGAAACCAAGCGTATCCTATGTAATAATATCCTCTGAATCCGAAAATCATAGTCCCCCTGGCCGGAAACCGCCGGAACATATTGTTATTAACAAAAAACGAAGAAAAAATGCTCTGAGGAAAACAATGAACAGAAATGAACTTGTTTAGAATAAAATTTTCTATAAGATACATTTGGTCCGGAACGCTTATTTTCAATTGTTATTGTTTTTTATGGAAAAACGTGAAAAATTAATCTCTAAAATTAACAGTTTGTTATTACCAAGTAAAATTCATCCGATCTTTTTGAAAATCCGTATTTAATAACTTCTTTTGATAACAAAACAATATGACAAAATTAAATAAACAAGAAGGGATGTTTTGTCTTTCAAACTGGGGGACCATAAGAGCGTTCCCAATTTTTTTAATACATAGTTTAACCCTAAAACAATCTTTTCCAATAAATGTCAACGTTACTGTCACCAATCACTCTTCAATTTAAAATTACTGGGTTAGATTCCGTCGGAAATGTTAAAAACTGTTTCCCATTGTGGTTATAACTACCAACTTTATCTTTAGATTGTCCCCACATTGTAAATAACGTACACTTTTCTAAGTAGGCACTGCCTGTTGCTCACCCATCCGGCAATTGACATCCCCCATTATTACAAATTTAACGTTTTGATATTTTTCTGAAATCGCTCAAGAATTCCTACTTTTTCGAAGCAAATTCAGACCTCAAAATACGCCAATCCAGTACTTTAGACGGTTACTAAGCAACGAACTATCCCGGACCGAAACGAGTCTGCGATAATTTTTGCCTGCTCACGCCATCAAAATATTATGTCAAACAGTTGTCAAGGAAACGATTTCATAGGTGATAAGATGGTAACCAAAAATTGTTATGTATTAATCAAAATTCCTTAATTTATGACGATTTTGAATGCGCTTTCAGAAAAAATAGTATGTGTACCTCTTAGTAAAAGCACATTCTCGGACTTCAAGCTAAACGCATCGGCCAACAATTTACATTGTCGTTCGGGAAAGTATTGCTTCTACTACTAGATACACAATCTACTATTTTCTGCCATGATATAGAGCTTTGCAAAGCCTTTCTGTTCATTTTTTATTTCTGATCCACAAAGTAGGTACATTAAAAATAAAAAGACCCGTGTGTCCTCAATTTTTATTTGCGAGTAAAATAAACCCAAAATAAATTATTGAAAAGCTGTGTTTTTAGTCCGAATTTGAAACGCTTCAGACTAAATACGTCACAAACCTACAACCAATCACGTAGAAGTGAGCTGGCAACCTTACGCGAGGGTCTGACGTTTGTCACGTTTTGAGAGGGATGTTGCATCTAGCACGAAAGTGACAAGTGCCTGTGACAGATGACGCAAGTTATAAATGCCATTCTCCTGCAATATTGCCAAGTCGTTATGTCATCTGAATGGTTCTAGGAGCTGATTGGTCGGGCTTATTACGTCACAGAGCCCGCCACAATCATATCGTTTTGAATAAACCTTGAAAACCGCACACGTTCATTATTTTTTTGCTAATCAGCCTCTATTTTAAATAAACTTTTACTGTCCAAAAAAATGTTTTATGGTTTCAGGTACACGCTTATTAAATTAGAACTGCGGAATTCAACTATACTGTAAACCCCCATTGTTGCAATTTAAATAAAGAGTGATTTTTGAGCACCCAATACAGTGGAATTGGACAATTCAAAACAGTTATTAAACACCATGTCTTTTTATGAAACATGAAAAATTTTTTTTAATTCTTAAAAATGCGCTAAAAATGATTTTATAATAAACTAGGTACCTATTTATAATATGCTCGTTAGATCGTACACAAATGTCAATGGATGCGTGTGTTTTGTCAAGTTACAACAATTTAGGTAATTTGATACGAGGAAAATAGTGACCTTAACCTTTTTTTTGGTTTCTTAAAAGCTTTTGATTTGTGTAGCACTTTATTTATTTATTTCAAGATGGCGTAGCAAAGCTGGTAGCGAAATTCCGATGCAAAACCGCACTCAAAACTGATGAAAGGATTCGTTTGACAAATGAAGTCATCTACGGCATCCAAGTAATCAAAATGTACGCTTGGGAAAAGCCATTAGCAAAGTTTATTTCCTTCGTGCGGAGGTAATCAATGTATGTAAGTACTTTATCAGATATAATAATAATAGTTTTTCAGAAATGAAATTCGATTCATACGACGAAATCTTTATCTTCGTGGCATAATGGCGTCATTTTTTTTATTCTCCTCAAAGCTGAGCCTATTTATTGCAATTTTAACTACGGTGCTTTCAGGAGAAGCTATTACCGCGAAGAAGGTTTTCGTTTTATACGCATACTATGACCTGTTACGTATGACTATTCATTACTCCTTTCAAGTGGCTGTCATGCGAGTGGTGGAGTGTAATGTGTCCATTAAGCGTTTACACAATTTCCTAATGCTTGGAGAAAAATCGACTACGGATAGTGTTTCTACAGATAGTGACAAGAAGTACTCAATTAAAGTTGATCATGTTGTCGCTAAATGGGATGCCGCTGCTACCAGCAGTATACTTAACAATATCAGTATTTGCATCAAACCAAAATCGGTTAACGCCATCATTGGTCCCGTTGGAAGTGGAAAGAGCAGCTTACTGCAAGTCATTCTGAAAGAACTTCCTTTCAGCGAGGGCAAATTGGCAGTGAATGGCACCATAAGTTACGCATCCCAGGAACCCTGGATATTTATCGGAACTGTTCGTCAAAACATAATTTTTAACAAACCGTTCGATAGCGACCGGTTCTCAAAGGTGATTGCAAACTGCTCACTAAAAAGGGACCTGGCACTTCTCCCGGATGGAGATATGACTTTAGTTGGTGAACGAGGAGTATCACTAAGCGGAGGCCAACGTGCGAGAATAAACCTAGCCCGTGCAGTTTACCAGGAAGCGGATATTTATTTGTTGGATGATCCACTTTCGGCGGTCGATACTCACGTTGGAAGACAGTTATTGGACGATTGCATTATTACGTTCTTGAAAGAGAAAACTGTTGTCTTAGTCACACACCAGTTGCACTTTTTGAAGGATTTCGACCAGATTTTCGTATTAGGCGATGGAACAGTCAAAGCCCACGGAAGGTTTGATGAACTGCAAGAGTCCACTTCGGATTTTGCTAAACTTTTAAATATTGAAAATGAAACAGATACTGAAGTTCAACGTATCCGTACTAAGAGCGAATCTGATTCAAATTCATTATTGGAGAATACTAACGTCAGTTTGGAAAATATTAACAAGGAGGACCAAGTTAAAGGCAAGCTCTCTTTCGACGTTTATAAATCCTACTTTAACATCGGAACGCATTGGTTGCCAATTCTTTGTGTGTTCTGTTTGTTTTTCGTTACACAACTTGTGTACAGCTTCTCAGACGTTTTCATTTCGCTATGGTAAGTAACTTATTTTCATTTCGTTAGTTTAGAGCTTGCATACCAAAGAGGTGGCAGTGTTAACGCCAATTAAATATAGTGGATAATTCGCCCATTCCTCTCACATAATACTCAACAGTATATAGATTTTTTGTTAGGTAAAAGATGTTTTTTTTTAACTGAAAACCAGATAAAAATTGAGGAATTTGGGAAGAGGTTCCAATGCACTACATTCTATTTCGTTATTTTGGTCGTAGCTCTCCTCGGAAAAAACAATTAGGGCCGTTTTTTTAAATGTATATGATAGTTGGATCACTTATTTTCTTTTGTAATAAAGATCAAGTAAAGTGAAGCAGTTTGTGATTTTGTGCAAGACAGATTTAGACAGGTCATAATAGTTTTGCTAAGGCACAAAGTGTACAGTATTATTTATTTCCTAATATTTTTTACATCATCAGCTTTCTATGAAGTTTGAATCCTTAATCTACCAAACAATATTGCTATGGAAGACTCAGTAGCCTCCATCAACTCCTGAAAATTTCAAAGAATTAACTACAACAATTTTAATTAACACTTGACGTAACCTTGAGCACGAATAGAAAAGTCTGGTATGAAAACTCTATCTGGGTCGCACTTTGGGTTCAATTAAACACAGAGTTTCATTGAAAAAGACAAAAAACAAAATTAAACAAGACGCTGAAAGAAAGAAAGGCGTTTAGAGCTTGTTTTTACACATACCCCGAACGCAAGCGTTTGACAGACAATTCAGTAAAGAAATCTTAATTGCTTACAGTTATAAAATAATTTAGTCAATATGATAGAAACAAATTTGCGATATTCAGGCTTACTAGAACTTCTTCTTGATAATTACCCCAGATTACAATTAATTAGGTACCTCTCGGAATCATTACCTACATCAATGAATTAAAGAAGGAGAACAAAATCGAAGAAAATTGTTGTAAAATAAACGAAAACAAACATTTCTCATCTTTATTTAGCTGCCAATGCCGGAATGCGTCATACCGTATAATTTAACATCATGTCCCACGTAACCCAGTAACAACTCTGGGGCTAAGAACATAAATACATGTTCTAGGTTTTTCTTGCCGTGTATCATAGCAAACGGTTCCAATTGTGCACCCAACACCAGAAACTATTAATTTAAAACAACTCAGGGTTCTTAAATAAGGGCAGGGTTACTAACCTTCTTTAAAGGGGAAAACCCGTAACTATGCCGAAAACATTAGCCTCCCTAGAGGTTGATCCTTCAAGGCTGTGTGGAAGAGACACCAGCTGTCTACCTTTGCCCAGGAATTCGGCACCTCCAAGCGCCACGCCGCTTGATCGGCCCCAGATCGGCAAGTTCCCCTTGACTTAGATGGCAGCCTTGCGGACCCTAGGAGGACAGTCTTGCAGTATTGTGGGAGGTAGTCAATGCCTCATTTGTGCTCGCACGAAATCCTTAGGATCTCGCCCGAGTACCTCCAACCCCTAAACGTGGGTGCTAGTGTGGTGCCTTTTCAGGCGAACAGATGTTGGTCAAGGACCTTGGCCAGGTGATTTTGTATCATACCCCCGTGGTTAGCCGTTGGCCTACTCAGAGGGTTATTGGTATTTATAATCGCTACTTTAAGTTGCCTTTCGTCAGCTTGCTACTGATCAGGGCTGGGTTACGGGAGGTGGATGGTTTGGGGGATGAATGTTGGACCCATTTTGGTCAGCCTGTCCTGGTTTTTCCTCTTCTGCTCAGCGCTGGAGATAGCGTGGTTTGGGGTGTTGTTGCGGCTCGGTGATCTGTAATATGTTGAGGGATATCCTCGGACGCTCCCTCTGGTTTATTATATAGGTCAGTCTCCCTGCGTGTTTCCATGCGTATAGAAAACAAATTTCAACTTGCGGAGCAAATGCGTTTAGGAAGATCAGTGGTAAGTATCATAAAGTGAGATTTTAATCATTTCATTATTCCGTGGTGAATTGGGGTGGTCTGTCTTAAAAAGGCGAGGCATTTGTTGTAAGAGATCCGATGGCTATCCAAACTAACTACCTAAAACTGATTGTAATCCACCTATCACAAAGAACGATAATTGGTCATTTTTCAGGGCAACCGTAGAAGAAAATCGCTACAAGGCAGACCCTACTGGGTTTTGGAATTTTTCCACCGAAACCTGGATGTACATATATATTGGAACCATCACATCTTTGGTATTGGTAACAATACCACGATCTTCTTCGTTCTTTATCGTTTGCATGAATTCGTCACTGCAACTGCATAATCAGATGCTTTCAAATGTTCTTCAAGCCACAATGCGGTTTTTCAGTACTACTCCATCGGGAAGGATTCTAAATAGATTTTCAAAGGATATGGGTCTTGTGGATGAAATGCTACCGGTAGCAATGTTGGATACTCTACAAATATTTCTCATCTTAGTTGGCGTTATTATATTAAATGCCACCGTTAACGTTTGGTTTTTGATACCCGCAGTAATAATGGCGTGCTTGTTTTACGCGATGAGAACATTTTATATGGCTACCAGTCGGAGTGTGAAACGTTTGGAAGGCTTAAGTGAGTACTATATTACGATATAACGCTGTTTTATGTACTTATTACAGCAAGAAGTCCTGTATTTACGCATTTAAATGCGTCTCTACAAGGGTTGAGTACTATTCGAGCTTTTGGAGCGGAATCTGTCCTTATGGACGAATTTGACACCCATCAAGATGTACATAGTTCCGCGTGGTTTATCTTCCTATCAACAACTCGCGCGTTTGGCTATTGCCTAGATCTAATCTGCGCGTTGTATACCACACTAATTACGTTTAGCTTCTTCGCGTTCGAAAATTGTACGTATCTCGCACGAATCATCCCTTTCAAGAATTTTTACAGCTACCAATGGAGGAGACGTTGGTTTGGTGGTTACTCAATGTTTGAGCGTTATTGGATTGCTGCAGTGGGGTGCTTGGCAATCTGCCGAAGTTGAAAATCACATGACTTCCGTAGAACGTATACTTCAGTACAACAACATTGAACAGGAAGGAACGAATCGAACCACAGAGCCACCCGACTCGTGGCCTCAGGAAGGGGAGCTTGAATTCGTCAAACTCTCCTTACATTACGTTCCAGAAGATCCTCCCGTCCTCAAAGATCTGAGCTTCATCATAAAAGCACGAGAAAAGATTGGAATAGTCGGTAGAACCGGCGCTGGGAAATCCTCTATAATCAACGCACTGTTTCAACTGTCCAACACAAAGGGATCAATTTTAATTGATGGAATCGACATCACCGATATCAAATTGTGGAACTTACGATCAAAAATATCAATTATACCTCAAGAACCTGTGCTTTTCTCAGGTACATTGCGAAAAAATCTTGATCCGTTTAATGAGTTTTTAGACGAAAACCTATGGAAGGCACTTGAAGACGTAGAGTTAAAACATCTAGTTAAAGAGCTTAGCTTAGGTTAGTCCCCACTTATATAATCACAGCACCTACAACTACACCAATTTTAGGCTTAAATTCAATGGTGCTTGAGGGAGGTTCAAATTTTAGCATTGGTCAGCGACAACTCATCTGCTTAGCACGCGCCATTCTACGAAACAACAAGTTGTTAGTATTGGACGAAGCCACCGCAAACATTGATCCTCAAACTGACGCGCATATTCAAAACACAATTAGGGAAAAGTTTGCCCAGTGCACTGTCCTCACTGTGGCGCACCGTTTGAACACAATTTTAGACTCCGATAAAGTGCTCGTAATGGACGCCGGTACCATCGTTGAATTCGATCATCCTTATCATTTGTTGCAAAATACCAATGGCATATTCCACGGCATGGTTATGCAAACGGGGCCGGCGATGGCTCAGACAATTACCAACATTATTAAAGAGGTGGTTGTTGTGTGCTCGTAGGCAATTCAACTCAAACCTTCTTTTCAGAACTATCACAACTACAACACCAGTCATTTACCAGAAGATAGACGAATTTAGAATTAGTAGGTATATTATACAGTGTTTCGTGTAGTAGCCGAGATTGTAAGCAATAAATTTAGTGTTACAGAAATTTGTTGGTAGTTATGAGCTAAAAAAATGCAATACTTATTTTAAATTAGAAATGCAAGTGCAGAGTATTGCATGTAGGTAAGAAAATAAACTCCATCTTCTTGATTACCTATACCTTTATAAAGTAGAACTTCCTCCTTTTTTAAATTAAGAATTTTTAGCTACGTTTTTAAGATACCGTGGGACACAATTTTCCCTGTTACTTTTTTTATTTTTTTATTGTATTATGCAGCCAAAATCTGAAGCATTCTTACAATCGTTTGTCAAAAGATCTTATTTTTTCGTCTTTTCGTATCTACTTTGGGTTAGTTGAAACTGGACCTAAAATTGTAGGGGTACCTTATGCAGTGCACTAAATATTTTACTTTCTTTAGTTACGTATGCTTATTACTACTACAATTATTTCATACGAGGAGAGTTAAGTTAAAAATTGAGTGGCGCTCAACCCTTGACAAGTGCACCGATGTTAAGAAGATCAGTTTACCCAGAACGAACTACCGCTGTGGTAGATTCTCAAGTTCTTATTTTGTGTTTAACCCTGAGCTAATTGGCCGCTTATGTGGCGGATTTGAGGAAAACAGCGCCAACTCTACCTATCCGTTATATGAACCCATTATCAACCGAGTCCTATAGAAACCAACAAAAAATAAGGCCTCTGTTTTAAAATTCCGTAGCCCTAGGGCAAAAATGCATTTAGTTATGAATTATTCAGGGTTAACTTCTGAAGTGAACCAAAATATGTGACTTTCTATAATGATTTATGCTGACTAGCACCATTTCATGGAAACAAAAAATGAAGCCTGCAACAGGGTTGCATATAAGGGGGGTTCAACCTCTTTTTTTAAATTAAAATTTTGACTTTCTATGTGAACTTTAGAATTCCTTAACAAAAAAATTAATTGGCCAACCGCTAGCATCTAACACACTTCCTTACTGGAAATAATTCGTTTTCTCTCTGAAAATTGACTTCAAAAACTACTTTTTCTAATTTGCTTGCAAAAGTTAAACACTATGCATCTAAAACTATGCCCTTATTAAATTTCATGCAATTCGGTTCAAAACTAACGGAGATGTCAAAGAAGCAGTCTCTATTTTTTGTCTATATTGCCAAAGCTCGATTTACGCTCTACAGATTTGATCAAGAATCCCCTTGCCAAATTTCATCGTAATTGGTCCACTTTAGCGATATAATACGCAATGCAAAATTTTATCTAATTGATTCAATTCAAGAGCCAATTTTATTAGAGGTACCATGAGCTTGAGGTTGTTCTTAAAAACTTACGCTCTGAATTTTGCATTATAACAATGCGTAAGGGAATAATCTTAGTGCCTCGTCATTCTATGTAAGCTATTTTTGCAACAGACACCCTCCTGAGATAAGATTAGGTCTTTTATCTCCAAATCACTGGATCCTAAAAATTCCGGAACCCATTAATGAAACCATACTGCATAGAAATCACAATACGCAAAAAAGGATGGTTGTTAATTCCAGTACTCACTTTGTTTACAATTGCACCCATCGTAGAATTTATTAGGAAAAATCAACACTCTATTTTTTTCACCCATGCAACAATGCGCACACTTAAATACCGGGTCCGTGAAGTTAGCAGCACATTGAAGGCACAAATGTCGAGACTAGGTGGGTTGGTTAGTGATTCGTTTGTGCCGGTTTGTGCCGTAAAAAGTTTGCCAGCAAAACATACCGATTTTTAGAAAATTATTTCGATAACTCGGGAAGTACAGAAATTGTATGCTTGAGTGCGTAGAACTAAAATTCATAAAATGCACAATTCTAAACTTGCCGCCGGGGCCGCCATCTTACCAAGATGGCCGTCAAAAGCGGTTTTCCACCGATATCTCCAAAACTGTGCATTTTACGAGAAAATATGTGGTTAGCAAAATCAGAAGCATATTTCCACTAAAGTTAGCCTTTGCGTAGAAAAGCAGAAATTTTTAATAACCAATGGCGCGTATTTTATCAAAACGTGCTTCGACAAAAGTTTGTTGCGTTTGTGCCGGTTTGTGCCGTAAAAAGTTTGCCAGCAAAACATACCGTTTGAAAATTATTTCGATTTTTAGATGTGCTGCTAACTTCGCACACTTTTGTCGGTAAAAATCTCAGAACTGGGTGGATTGGTTAGTGCTTCGTTTGTGCCGTAAAAAGTTTGCCAGCAAAACATACGGTTTGGAAATTATTTCGATTTTTAGAGGTTCTGCTAATAGGCCAGTCATTGAGGATTTTTACCTGTAAGTAACTCGGGAAGTACAGAAATTGTATGCTTGAGTGCGTAGAACTAAAATTCATAAAATGCACAATTCTAAACTTGCCGCCGGGGCCGCCATCTTACCAAGATGGCCGTCAAAAGCGGTTTTCCACCGATATCTCCAAAACTGTGCATTTTACGAGAAAATATGTGGTTAGCAAAATTAAAGAGACGAAAATTTCCTACAACAAATGTAGTTAGCATATTTCCACTAAAGTTAGCCTTTGCGTAGAAAAGCAGAAATTTTTAATAACCAATGGCGCGTATTTTATCAAAACGAAGCACTAACCAATCCACCCAGTCTTGTGATTTGTGCCGACAAAAGTGTGCGAAGTTAGCAGCACATCTAAAAATCGAAATAATTTCCAAACGGTATGTTTTGCTGGCAAACTTTTTACGGCACAAACCGGCACAAACGAATCACTAACCAACCCACCTAGTCTCGACATTTGTGCCTTCAATGTGCTGCTAACTTCACGGACCCTTAAATACCTAATCTCTAGAAATTCTACTTTACCTATCTCTCTCAAAAACGCTAAAAATTTAAATCCAAAATTAAACCTTTATGACGAAAAAAGCATAGAACCTACTTTTGAGGCATATACAGGGTTACTACAGGATCGATTTTGTCGAAAATGGAAGAGAAAAAGTACGTTGTAGGAAAAAAATTCAAATTCAAAGGTTGGAAAATAGTATGATGCGAATACAAATAGCAACAACGAGGGAATGGATCTAAAATGGAAGAGAAAAAGTACGTTGTAGGAAAAAAATTCAAATTCAAAGGTAAAATAGTAGACGATACAAATAGCAACAAGTCGAGGGAATGTCTATGGAGGCAAATATAGGAAGAGTTGTGGGGAGATAATGGCAGAAGGCAGTGGAGGCAACCACCGTCGTCAGTCGTAACTCATAATAATTACACATGGGGTTCTGTAGAAACAGATCAAAGCTATTTACTCAAGAGGACTTATTTCACTACAGAGTCGATGAGTTATAAATACAAGCAGTTGAAGAAGGCTTGAGACCTCTGAAGTAATAAAAGACCTAGGAAGATCATAAGAAGTAGCATTGTTTTGCAATTCTTGGTATAAAGTTGACAAACACAACATCAACAAATGAGTGTTCAAGTTGGATTAAAAATGCCCCTATCTATTTAATAATGCACGTTGGCGTGCCTAATTGACAACGGGTTTGTTTATCACCTTAAACACTATTGAAAGTACTCGTACTACGCAATTGATAAGCGCGAACGATTGGAACAAGTAGGTATTTCAGGAACTTTATTATCGTAGTGTAAATTGCTCTGTACATAGGAAAATTGAATGACGAGAAATGGACTTGGGTCTTTCCAAAAAGAGCAAACCTAATCCAAGGGAAAGAGCTAATATTTTATCCATCGCAACGATATCGTGAGTACCAAGTTACTTCATGTTTATCACTGTAAAAGTTCGTAACCAATCGCCACATATATAAACTAACTGCACTCGCAACTTTTAATTTTCCGTAATAACTGTTGTGACCTTCCGTTGGATCTTAAAGATAATAAAATTATACTATGCTTATGTTTTAATAAAAATAATGTAGGCAGTGGTGTTATCAAATTAGCATTCACAGTCATCTTCTTATCCATGGTGCCGCTTAAATTCGCAAATCACTATGCCCACGTTTTGATTAATTAACACATTCCCTGGAAATGCTACAAGAAAATTATTTGAACAGTAGAAAAGTCTAATATTTTACTTTTATCTACAGGTATACGATACCTACGTTTAGCCTTGGATATAAAAAGGATATAGAAGTATCAGACTTGTACGAAACATTTTCTGGACACCAGTCACAAGCGTTAGGAGATCGAATAGAAGAATTATGGGGAACGGAAGAGACATTGGCCTCAAAATCGAAAAGGAAACCTTCGCTTGGACGTGTCTTGGTTCGTATGTTTGGTTTGAGCTACCTCAAACGAGGGATCCTATGTCTTATAATTGAATTCGTAGCGAGGTGCGTTGTCTAAGTGATTTTTGCGCTTGTTAATAGGCTCTGTTTCAGAATTTTTCAGCCCCTACTATTGGGAGAGCTTATAACGTATTTTTCTCCCGGTCAAACTACGATGACCAAAAATGAGGCGTACGGGTATGCAGGTGGCGTGGTTGCCTGTTCACTCTTGCAGGTACTAATTTTGGCGCCCTACATACTAGAGCTTGCCCATATTGGCATGAAGATGAGGGTAGCTTGTTGTTCGTTGGTTTATCGAAAAGCACTCAAACTGAGCAGAACGGCGCTCGGAGAAACTACAGTTGGGCAAATGGTAAATTTGTTGTCGAATGATGTCAATAGATTTGACTCGGCGACCCTATTTGCCCAGTACTTGGTGGTTGGTCCTTTGCAAGCAGGTCTTGCAACTTATTTAATGTACAGGGAAGTTGGCATCTCGGCAGTGATAGGTGTATCGGCTTCATTTCTGTTCATCGCTGGTCAATGTAGGTAACTTCACAAGTCGCGATAAACAATGACCCCATGTTTTACAGTTGTGTTTGCAAAGTTCATTGCAAAACTTCGTAATAAAACAGCGTATAGGACTGACGAAAGGGTGCGTTTAATGAATGAAGTTGTTACAGGAATACAGGTGATAAAGATGTACACTTGGGAAAAACCATTTGCCAAATTCGTGGCGTTCATTCGAAGGTAGGTTAACCTCGGACGAGACGTTTGTGAAATTTCTATAAATCTGTTCGACGTTAATCATTTAATCTTTTCAGAAATGAAATTAAGTACATACGTAGCGCTTCCTACATACGTGGAATGATGTACTCATTTTTCCTGTTTTCAACTCAATTTTCTCTGTTCGTATCAATATTGACCTACGTGCTATTTGGCAACCATATTTCAGCCAGGAAAGTATTTGTTCTCACATCATTATATAACGTTATACGTATCAATATGTACAACATATTCACGCAAGCAGTCGCCCAAGTATCGGAAGCCCTTGTCTCGATTACACGTCTGAATGAATTTTTAAGACGTAGTGAGAAATCCATCCCGCTCTTGTCCAACAATCGTACAGGCGAAATTCAGAACTCCTCCCTTGAAAAGGTGGATGCTATCGAGATCGGTAATGGTATAGCAAAATGGAATGAATTTTCAAGCGACAATGTGTTTGAGAATCTAAATTTAAGGGTTAAACAAGGGTCGGTTGTTGCCATAATCGGACCGGTCGGCAGCGGGAAAAGTAGCCTATTGCAATTAATTTTGAAGGAACTACCTTTATCTGACGGCCAATTGAAAATAAATGGAAACATAAGCTATGCATCCCAAGAACCTTGGCTCTTCACAGGAACTGTTCGTAAAAATATTCTATTTAACAACGATTACAATAGGACTCGTTACAAAGACGTAGTGAAAAAATGTTCTTTAAAAAGAGACCTTTCTCTTCTTCCACATGGGGACGTAACCGTCGTCGGCGAACGCGGTATATCTCTAAGCGGCGGACAACGAGCTAGAATAAATCTGGCAAGGGCGGTCTATCAAGACGCAGACATTTACTTGCTTGATGACCCACTTTCAGCAGTTGATACACACGTGGCAAGAGAACTGTTCGATAGGTGCGTTACCGGGTTTTTGCGCGGAAAAACGGTTATCCTAGTCACCCACCAGCTGCAATTTTTGAAAGATGTTGATAAAATAATTATCATAGAACAAGGCGCGATCAAAGCAGAAGGCACATTTGAAGAATTACAAGGATCTGGTTTGGACTTTGCTAAGCTTCTAAATGTAGATGAAGAACAAAAGGCGGAGCGCGTAAAAATTGCGAGACAAAATTCAATTTCCAGCACAACGTCCTTCGAGGAAACTATTCAAGAAGCAATACAAGAAAATGAAGAACAACGATCCAAGGGAACTGTTTCCGTAGACGTATATAGATCGTATATACATGCAGGAACAAATTGGTTTGTTGTATTCATCGTGCTCTTCTTATTCGTTGCTTCGCAGACGGCAGTCAGTTTCGGTGACGTATTTTTGTCAAGGTGGTAAGTATCTAGATGCAGGTAAACCCGTTGAGTTAATTACAATCGCAGGGTTACTGTAGAAGAAAACAGATATAATGGTGGAGATCGGGTTGAAGGCTTCTGGAATTTTTCAACCGATACCTTTACGTACATTTATATAGGAATTATAGCTGCAACGGTAACATTTGCAATATCGCGATCGTTAATGTTTTTCACAGTTTGTATGAAATCATCCATCAAATTGCACGACAATATGTTTGAAAGCATTAGCAGAGCGACCATGCGCTTCTTTAACACAAATCCGTCGGGCAGGATCTTCAATCGCTTTTCTAAGGATATGGGTGCCATTGATGAGCTACTGCCGATTGCAATGATAGACTTCTTCCAAATATTCCTGATGCTTATCGGTACAATTATAGTAATCATAACGGCCAACGTTTGGCTTCTTATACCGACCGCAGTGTTAGCAATCATCTTTTACTTTTTAAGGCGGTTATATTTGACTACAAGTCGTAATGTAAAGCGCCTAGAAGGGGTCAGTAAGTATTCACCCTCACCTCGTCCTTTTCAAATAAAAGAAATTGTAGCACGCAGTCCCGTTTTCGGTCATTTAAATGCGTCGCTTCAAGGACTGACAACCATTCGCGCTCTTAGGGCAGAATCGGTTCTAATTAATGAATTCGATAGTCTTCAAGATTTACATAGTACAACATGGTTCCTTTTTATAGCCACATCTCGTGCCTTTGCCTATTGGTTAGATATAGTCTGCGTTATCTACGTCGCCTTGGTGGCATTCAGCTTTCTAATCATTGGAGATTGTATGCATTGACCCTTAAGTATTATTTCCTCCATCTCATACGTGATTACAGCGACGTCCGGTGGAAACGTAGGCTTGGCAATAACGCAATCTATGGGACTTCTAGGATTCCTCCAATTAGGGGTGAGACAATCCGCTGAAGTTGAAAATCAAATGACGGCAGTTGAACGAGTTCTCGAGTATAACAAAATAGAACACGAACGAGTGGAAAAGAAAGAAGATAAGAAACCGCCCAAAGTTTGGCCCGAGCACGGCGAAGTGAAGTTTGTTGACGTATACCTAAGTTACTTTCCCGAAGATCCTCCAGTGCTTAAGAATCTGTCGTTCACCATAAAACCTCTAGAAAAAATCGGAATAGTCGGAAGAACCGGTGCTGGAAAATCGTCGCTAATCAACGCTCTCTTCCAACTTACCGACACCGACGGGGGGATCTTAATCGATGGTATCGACGTGAAAGAGGTGGGCCTCGACGATCTGCGGTCGCGAATATCGATCATTCCACAAGAACCCGTGCTATTCTCGGGGACTATGAGAAAAAATTTAGATCCATTCGACGAATATTCCGATGATGTTGTTTGGAAGTCTTTAGAAGACGTGAAATTGAAGCATACAATCGCTGAACTTAATTTAGGTAATCATAAACGATCACGTGTTAATATGTTTATACAATGGCCAGCTTTAGGTTTACACTCCGCCGTGAAGGAGGGAGGCTCTAATTTCAGTGTCGGTCAGAGACAACTTATATGTTTAGCTCGAGCCATACTACGTAACAACAAAATTTTGATATTGGATGAGGCAACTGCAAATGTGGATCCACAAACCGATGCTCTGATACAATGTACCATAAGAAAACAATTTGCTCAATGTACCGTCCTTACAATAGCACATCGTCTGAACACCATCATGGATTCTGACAAAGTATTAGTAATGGATGCCGGAACTATGGTAGAATTTGACCATCCTCATCTTCTGTTACAAAATACGAATGGGATATTGTTCAGGATGGTTTTACAAACCGGGCCAAGTATTAGTGAGGTTCTTACAAAACTCGCGAAGGAGGTACGTACCTACTGTTTGACGTGATTCACGTTCTGTTACATTCTTCTTTTTAGAGTTACGAAAGAGTGTTTGGGATTCACCAGACTGATTAGTTCCTATTCAATCGCGTAGATTTTATTAATAATTTATTAATATACATAACATAAGAAATAAATTCTGTGATAACTCATTCGGAGTGTTCTATTTCAGGGCAAGTAACACGCTAAGGTTCCCTTTGATTTGATTTTGGAGTTTTATGCGGCAACTTTATTGCATAATTAGTTTAATTAAATATAGCACATAATTTCATTCGAATTAAGATCGGCCCGGAAGGTATTTCCTTTTCGCGAAGATAATATATTTTGAATTTTAATTATAAGTTGATTGATGGATTTTTTAAAATCCTACAGAAAAACGATGAAGGTCTTGAACAACTATGTCATGATTTGGAGCTATGGTCGATACCTGGGCATACTTAAATACCAAATTATTTGAGCAAAAGGCAGATTTGTGAAAATTCAAGGGACTGTAATAAGGAACAACCGCCGATGTCCTCAAGAATTCAAGAAATTAATATAAAAGTAATCGCTGGCTTGCAATTTTAAAGGCGGCCGTAGGTTTGATTTATAGCCCTAGTGCGCGCGTAATAGGGTCTTCCTGAAAAAAAATATTGTAACTTTTATGTGTCTTACTGTAAAGTTTATAACCTGTAATTAAACATCTCATATACAAAACTTTTTTTCCTAATTGCAGAATGTCAATAAACAACATATAATATCGTAAAACTTTGAAATTTGTCATGCAACCGACGACATGCCGATATTGGCCGAGCGTCGCTTACGTCACTACGCGGGTTGCCGATCGGGAGTTATATTAGTGCATGACACTGATAGGAGTTCGATTCGACTTATTATGGCAATCTGCCATAAACTGAGTTCTGACTGGTTCGTAAAGGGGCAGTTAGATAGTCTGCCAAAGGTTGAAGTGTTAATGGTCGCCGCCTTTTTCTCGAAAAGTGAGTTTTTCCATGCCACTCGTTTGAGTGGAGTCAAAGCCCAGAAGCAAATCTGTTATGGTTCATAGGAAGTATAACATCAAGTTTTGTGTGTATAGTGCAAGGTATAGTGTAGAAAGTATGCACCTTACGGATTTCAACGAGAAAATTAGGGTGTTGGATATGTGGAAGTGAAAATAGAGAAAAATGTGTGCACTGTAAGGGCACAGATATGCCCAGAACAGAGTTCGAAGTAAATCATATTCTGAATTACAATTACAATATTATATATCGATGGATTTTCGTCGATAACTGACTGAAAGTAAATCGACATTATGTACTTTAATTAGAATCGTCTTCACAACAATACAAATGGGATGTCAAACTCGCGGTATCACGTCGAACTTTTTTCGTATATTTCCTGTTCGTTTATATACAATTTATTAGGATCGCGATGACTTCTGCTATCACACCCAGGCACAAATGCAATAATTATTCGACGCTTTTTTCCGTCAAAACGCAATGCTACGGCTGAGCGCCAACGTGCGTAGTGACGTCACAGCAACGTGGCGGTCATTCGACACTTTTCAAACGCCGTTCATTTTAAAATCGTGTTTGCTAATCACAACGATTTCTCTTGACAAAAAAATGAGTACCACTAATTTTTTAATGTGTTTGGAGTTCATTTTCAAGGTTCTTGAAAAAACGAGGAAAACCCAATTAGTCGAGATGGACGAATTCGATTCGTTCATGGTTAAAGATGCGTTAACCTATTGGCCGTGCTAAACAATTTAAAAATAGTAGTAGGGATTAGTCCAGAACGAACAGAATTAGAGCATTCGGTTTTGAGCCGTCGTTAATCTCATTGCGACTGACCAAGGCATTCGTTTTTGGGCTTCGAGTTCATCAAGTGCGTGGTTCAAAATATGTGACGTTCTCCAGCGTTCCGTGGCAAACGATTGAGCGAGATTACACCATACGCAATAGAATCCTATATCGACGCGGTCCGAAAGGGGCACTTCTGGTTGTCTCACTCGATATGCACGAAACGGTACTCTACGCTTACAATGACTCAACTTCATACCGCCTATCAGTCAATGTTTTCTTAGATGCGACATACGCCCGGCGAACTATACAGTAACTTAGCAGTATGTAACGTGCCTACTTTACGACCTATTCTCATACATACCCAAAAAACAAAAAAAATAACATAGAAATCAGTCGAGCCGTTTAGGGGGAATGCGACCACAAACCCCGTGACTCAAGATTTTTATATATGAGATAAATATAATTATAGATTAGTGAAGTGCCAAGATAGGAAGTTATAGATCTTTTACACATAAATGACAAGGCGTAATTCACCGATGTACTAGAAAAAAATCTTTTTTGAGAAAGGGGGAGGGTTTCTTTTCAGGTAAGTTGCAAATCCCCACTGTTTGGCATCGTAATCTTAGACAACAATAATTATTATTCATTTCGTAGGTTATAATTTCGTAAAAACGTGACCCAACAATGGATTTGGGATTATGCAAGGATCTCAAACCAAATCCGAGAGAGAATGCAAACATTTTATCAGTTGCAACGATTGGGTGAGAAGCGTTTTTCATCGTCTTACAGTCAGCTTTAATTTCTTCATGTTTTAGCCATACAATTCCAACGTTCCTTGTGGGACGAAAGAAAGATTTGGAGGTGTCCGATTTGTACCAAGCTTATTCTGGCCATAAATCAAAACTGCTTGGAGACAGAATAGAAGCCGCATGGAGAGAAGAGGAGGCCAACGCTGTGAAATCAAAGAGAAAACCTTCGTTGAAGCGAGTGCTGATAAAATTGTTTGCTTTCGATTACATTCAACGTGGAATAATGTGCTTGATAATTGAATTTGGATCGCGGTAAATTTTAAAAGACCTTTCTTTACGTTGTTAACAATTTGTGATGGTAGATTGCTTCAGCCGTTACTCTTAGGGAAACTAATTTCATACTATGCATCAGAGGGAAATACCATATCAAAATCGGAAGCGTATGGTTACGCGGGGGGTATCGTAGGATGCGCACTTTTACAGGTTATGTTGATGTCTCCTTATATGGTGACACTTCTGCACGTTGGTATGAAAATAAGGATTGCTTGTTGCTCGTTGGTTTACCGAAAGGCATTGAAGTTAAATAAAGCAGCACTTGGTGATACCACAATTGGACGAATGGTCAACTTGTTATCGAATGATGTAAACAGATTTGATGTGGCCGTGCTCTTTGCCCAATATTTGGTTGTTGGACCAATCCAAATGCTCGCTGCAACGTATTTTATGTACCGAAAGGTTGGAATTGCGGCAATAATAGGGGTCTGTGCACTGTTATCGTTCGTGCCTTTACAATGTAAGTTTTGAGAGACACATAAACTACCGTAACAGAAGTACGATATAAACCTCCTCAAAACCATCTACAATCTCTTTCTTTAAACAGATCTGTTTACTGTGCCCAGATTTTGATTAAAAATTCACAAAAAGCTTTGCTACTCTATCGAATCACTCCATTTATTGAAAACATGTGCAAATTCCAAGTGGATGGAAAGCAATATTTTATTCTTCATCTACTCCATATTATATAATATGTACAATTTGCACATGTGTTTTATGTTATCTTTTTATCTGGATACATAAATCCGCACATCAACTTTTGCTAACCAAAAATAGTCTGCGTAAATTAAATTTTAACACCTTTTACAGTTATACTGGCAAAACTCATTGCAAGATTTCGATACAAGATGGCATACAAAACTGATGAAAGGGTTCGTTTAATGAACGAAGTTATTTCTGGAATACAAGTAATCAAGATGTACACTTGGGAAAAGCCTTTCGCCAAATTCGTTTCCTTGGCCCGAAGGTAGGTAGTTGGTCGCTTTGCTTTTACCTTTTTGGTACCTACTAACGAATTTTTAGGAGCGAAGTGAAGTTCATCCGAAGTGTCTCCTACTTACGAGGATTGATTTACTCTTTCTTCTTGTTTGGGACGCAGTTCTCATTGTTCATATCAATCTTTGCGTATATAATGTTTGGTGAGCACATAACGGCTGAAAAAGTGTTCGTGATGAATGCGTTTTACAATGTCATTCGTTTAAATATGTGCAATTTCTTTGTGCAAGCCGTTGCACAAATCGCCGAAGCAAATGTTTCCATAAAACGTCTTAACGATTTTTTATTGAACGATGAAAAACCAACTCATTCGAACCATGAAACGCAACTCGGTAACGATTTACTTGAACACTCAATTAGTATTACTGACGCGGTTGCAAAATGGGACCAGTCAATGAGTAACAATCTGTTCGAGAACCTCAACGTTAAGGTAAAACGCGGTTCAACTATTGCAATAATTGGACCTGTTGGAAGTGGAAAAAGTAGTTTGCTGAGTTTGATCTTGAAAGAGCTAACATTGACTGAGGGCAAACTAGAGATTGACGGTTGTATAAGTTTAGCCGCGCAAGAGTCATGGATTTTCACAGGCACTGTTCGCCAAAACATTTTGTTCGGCAAACCTTTCGATAAACAACGATACACAGACGTGGTACGGGTATGCTCCTTATCTCGCGACTTTAAACTCTTCGTGAACGGAGATAAAACCATAGTGGGGGATCGTGGAGTGTCGCTCAGTGGTGGGCAACGTGCTCGAATTAACTTGGCCCGAGCAATTTACAGAGAAGCCGACATTTATCTGTTAGACGACCCACTTTCCGCAGTTGATACCCACGTTGGGCGTGAATTGTTTGACAGGTGCATATGGGGCTACTTAAAAGACAAGACTGTAGTCCTCGTGACACACCAAGTGCAATTTTTGAAAGACGTTGACCAAATTATTATACTTGAAAATGGCCGAGTTAATGCGCAGGGGACTTTTGAAGAACTTCAGCAGTCCGGTTTAGACTTTGCCAGACTTTTAACGACCGAAGGAGGGGAAAAAGGAGCAAAGGAAGAAATTCTACCGGCCAGAGAATTTCTAAGATCAAACTCGATTTCCAGTATAAATTCGTTTCAGGATATCCATCAATCTTTTGAATATCGTAGTGAGGAAACCACGAAGGGAACGGTAACTTTGGATGTGTACAAATCCTATGTAACTGCTGGTGCAAACTGGTTCTTTTTGTTGTGTATTGGCGCCCTATTTGTAGCGGCACAATTGACTTCCAGTTTTGGAGACGTGTTTATATCGCGCTGGTAAGTACAAAGGTATTTTGCACGTATTTACAGTATGTTTACATTAGGGTCACAGTAGAAGAAAATCGTAATGTCAAAAATGAAGCGGTTGAAAATAGCTTTTGGAATTTCTCAACCGAAACTTACATTTACATCTACGCTGGAATAACAGTTACAGTTATCATCCTAACTCTGTCTCGGTCAGTGTCATTTTTTACTGTTTGCATGAGATCTTCCGCTAAGTTACACGACAACATGTTTAATAGCGTTATTTGTGGCGCAATGAGATTCTTTAACACAACCCCTTCTGGAAGAATTCTCAACCGTTTTTCGAAGGATATGGGCGCAATGGACGAGCTGCTGCCTAGTGCGATGTTGGATTTCGTTCAACTTTCGTTGATGTGTACTGCGATAGTTGGTGTAATCGCATCCGTTAATCCCTGGCTTCTACTGCCAACCGCCGCTCTGGCTGGTATCTTGTATTGTATTAGGCGTTTCTATTTAGCGACCAGTCGCAGTATAAAACGCTTGGAAGGTGTCAGTAAGTACTATATTGTAATAAGACGCAACATGATCTTAACTATCTGTAGCAAGAAGTCCTGTGTTCGGACATCTAAGCGCGTCTCTACAAGGATTGACCACAATTCGCGCTTTTGAAGCAGAACCAATTTTAATCCACGAATTCGACGGCCTTCAGGACTTGCACAGTGCTGCGTGGTACTTGTTTATAACAACATCGCACGCATTTGCGTATTGGCTAGACTGTATCTGTGTAATCTACATCTGCATAGTGACATTTAGCTTCTTCGCCATTGAGAACGGTACGTCTCTAGCTGTAACTCGTTAAATAATAATGTCATGCTTTACAGCACTCCCTGGAGGAAATGTTGGATTAGCCATTACGCAATCTTTGGGACTAATAGGTTTATTCCAGTGGACAGTTCGACAATCTGCTGAAACAGAAAATCAAATGACATCCGTAGAACGCATTTTACTCTACAATAACGTCGAGCACGAAAAAATATTGAACGCACATCCCCCAGAAGGTTGGCCAAATAAGGGCGCAATAAAATTCTTTGATGCTTTCTTAAATTATTTTCCTGAAGATCCGCCCGTACTTAAGAATTTGTCGTTCCATGTTAAACCTCTAGAAAAAATTGGAGTAGTGGGGCGAACGGGTGCGGGAAAATCTTCCTTAATTAATGCGCTCTTTCAACTGACTGAAACAACGGGATTGATTACAATCGACGGTATCAACATTAAAGAAATAGATCTGAAGGATTTGAGATCAAGAATATCGATCATTCCGCAAGAGCCCGTGCTTTTTTCGGGCACTATGCGAACTAACCTAGATCCGTTCAATGAGTATCCTGACGATGCCTTGTGGAGAGCCCTTGATGACGTCCAATTGAAAGAAACAGTTCGCGTGCAAAGTCTCGGTAATTTGGGTTTTTCCCAGTCACGGTTTACAAAAAGGCCATTGTAGGTTTAAACTCCGCTGTATTAGAGGGTGGTTCTAATTACAGTGTAGGGCAACGGCAGTTAATCTGTTTAGCACGCGCGATCTTGAGAAATAACAAAATACTGATATTAGACGAAGCCACTGCGAATGTGGATCCACAAACTGACACTGTTATACAAACAACAATCAGACAGAAATTTGGCCAATGCACTGTTTTAACCATTGCTCATCGGTTAAATACAATTATGGACTCGGATAAAGTATTAGTAATGGATGCTGGTACCATGGTGGAGTTTGATCATCCTTACAATCTGTTGCAAAATCCAAAGGGAGTGTTTTACGGCATGGTTGCGGAAACGGGTACTGCTATGGCTGATTCACTAACCAAATTTGCCAAAAAGGTAAAATATACATTCAACACATTTTATGTCTATTATCTGTTTTTGTAGAGCTACGAAGAAGCATTAAAAGAAGATTAACCGCTTCAAAAACTATTGTTGATTCTGTTCCACATTTTTATTTGGAAGGGTTGCTTTACAATAGACTGTAATGCGTTTAGAGTGTGAAATTAGTAGGCGTGAATTGTATTCAAACTGGAACTGTACTAAAATAAAGATTTTCTGATTTAGGGTGATTTTCTTTTTGCATTATATGACCCTGTTCACAACGTCTAAACTAACCTTAGGTAACCTGTTTTGTATGGTATATACAGTATGTCCCAAGTAGAACGCATCACAGGGAAACGGCAATGTATTTTTTCGAGAAGGATGGTTTACTTATTAGACGCCGTATGGAAAAAGGTGAGAATTAAAAAATAAGAAAGGGTTAGTCTGGAAAATTTTTGAAGCATTCAGTCTAAGACTTTCAAAAGGAAACCACGTAAAGTGACCCTTAATACTAAACATTCTCAAGTTCATTTTTGAAAAGTGGAGATTGTATTTCAAAGAATGGCGGGCCAACCCCCTTAATATGCAAACCGGTTGCACAATGACGCCTAGCTGCAAAAATTTTCATTTATTTTCCCTTCCTACAAAAAAAAGTTCGTTTAAGATATACTAATACCTTTATTTTTCAGTTTCGAATAGAAAAAGTCCATTTTTAAAACTGTGAAGTTTGGTATGAATTAAACACTTTTTTTATACTTTAATTTTTATAAATACCTACCTACTATAGGTTAAGTATGGTAACCAAACTTCCGTATGCGCTGGTCCAGATTTTCCCTTATTGATCGGGATGGTTAGGGATGGCGATGGCGTGAGGGAGTGCAGTGGAGTGAAAAATTATCCGAAGTGACTTCTCTGGCTTTTCATATGTTTTTCCTTATCTCCGTGGTCTAAAGCAATGGTATAAGCCACCGCATAAATTAAATATATCCAAGAAAATCTATCATGGGTATTTCGGAAACCAAAGTTACGACGATGGTCAAATAAGAGGAAAACTGCACAGTTAAAGAGTTAATATCATATTGTAAAGAAAACAGGAAAATCACGATTAGGTACTTACGAAGTTATGCCCAGTGAAACCGAAATTTACCGATTTCGTTGTTATTTTCTTTTCCAATTTTATACATCAAGATACAAAAAAGGCTTTCTGATGGCTTGAGCTCTACAATATACCGCTGATGTACTGCACACAAAAAACTGTTGCTGGTTACTGATGCACTCGCACAAAACGCCCTAATCGTGCGAGGATATCTATCGGACATATTTTCCATTTTCCAGGAAATTTATAAAACTGTTACATTTAACTACAAGTTAATCATATACATCATACAAACACCAATCAACCACATAAAAATGCATCTTTTGGTATTCCCTAAAATATTCTATTTATTTGTAAAGAAACTGTGGCGCTAAACAACCATACATATAGTAGGCGAGTGCGCTTCACTTATTGAGTGATTTCTATTCAAGGGAAATGAGTGTAATGAAAAAACAATAATTGATTTAACTTAGCTAAATCACCTGAAAGGAATACACCTATTGAGTCTTATTATCAAACTATTATTATTAACTATTAAGTGTTTTATTCATGAACAATTGAAAGCGGTACGTGACGAGTTTATTTTAAGATCAAAATATAAAAAAAATTAGTATCTACCCGGGTGATAAGTTCACTATCTTCTTATGTAACACGTGTCGGTGTCGGGAAAGTATCTTTGATTCGTCGTATAAATGTGAATGTTTGGAGATATCGATAAAGTGATAAAATACTAAAGACTATATTTTCAAATAAATAAAATATTATAAACATCATAAACATACAGATTAGAGAGTATTCTAAAGTCGCGACGTTTTCTTCCAGTGGGTACACACTGTAGATGCCTAGTGAAACAAGTGCATACTAATTTCTTAAGTTTCATATGGAAAGCTGAGAAATGGACTTCGAAATTTGCAAAAACCTTAAACCGAATCCCAGAGAGAATGCGAACATACTCTCAGTGGCGACGATTTGGTGAGTAGATGATCCGGGTGTTGCCAGGACGTGAGGATGAATGAAGGGTTATCTGGTATTGCTAGCATTTGAATCAAGGTTTTGAGCGTGACCTGAAAGATCACTTAGAACCATCCAAGTGCGAGTTCTGACACAGAAAGTGGATATTCGGCCCAGCACCCGCTCTATTTTGGATATTTGACCGCACTCCTTAATTTAATTTTCATTGTTGGTCTCGATTTTTAATCTGCAACGTTCAATTAAATTGTATTTTGTCATAGGCATGCGATTCCTACATTCCTGCTTGGACGAACCAAAGACTTGGAAGTATCCGATCTGTACCACGCCTATTCATCTCATCAATCAAAAGTACTCGGGGACAGAATTGAAACCGCTTGGGCGAAGGAGGAGGAAGCTGCTCAGAAATTAAACAGAAAACCATCCTTAAAGCGTGTGTTGATTAAGTTGTTTGCCTGCGATTATCTCGTACGTGGAATCATATCTTTGATCGTTGAGTTTCCATTGAAGTATGTTTGGAGTAGATCCTGCCTAGGTTGTTCTCAATTGATGTGTTTGTAGGTTATTCCAACCTTTGCTTCTTGGAAAACTTATAGCGTACTTTGGCGGGCAAGAGTCCATTTCCAAATCAGCAGCGTATGGATTCGCGGCAGGTGTTGTGGGATGTGCATTCCTACGGATACTATTGACATCTCCTTTGATGGTATCACTTCTCCATATGGGTTTGAAAATCAGAGTTGCGTGCTGCTCGTTGGTTTATAGGAAGACGTTGCGATTGAGCAAAGCGGCCCTAGGTACAACTACCGTCGGACAAATGGTCAACCTGTTGTCAAATGACGTAAACAGATTTGACGTGGGAATAAGATTTGCGCATTTCCTTATTATCGGTCCAATCCAAGTAATAGCCGCAACCTACTTTATGTACCAACAGGTTGGAGTTTCGGCATTATTTGGTGTTGGTGTTTTATTGTCGTACGTTCCTTTGCAATGTAAGTATCTCTATAGTTACTTATAAGCGCTATACATGGTGGTGACTTGCGTAACGCATCATAGAGATTTCAATGTAAAATTCATAACGTGCGATTATTGGCTCCCCAAATTATTTTAGAGCAAAAATGTATTAAGGTTTTTTGTAGAAAAAAATTTTTTACGCCAATCAATCGTATTAGTTTTCAATTTTTTGCATACTAAAGACGGAACATTGGAAAAATAAACCCCCATCTTTTTCATAGCATTACATTTAGGTTAGTAATTATCGTGCAAATCAAAAAATAAACTAATATGACACATTTTCTAAGGTTGGCTTTTATTTCAATAAATGTTCAAAATGTTTTCCGTTATTGGTCAGTATTACTATGCGATCAAAAAGAGTTGCTGTCGAGTCGCCCTTTGAAATTTTTGTTTACATGGAAAATCGTATTTAACTTGAATTTCCAAAGCCGACTCGACAGCAACTCATTTTTGATCGCCAGTTATAATCTATTCTCAAACTCTTGTCGAACCTTTTCAAATGTCGGTTTTGCAAATATTTCGACATTCTTGAATTAATCTCTGTCTTGGTTCGTCTATGTTCACCGGTTGCGTTTTAAATACGACAGATTTCAAATGTACCATATTAGTTTATTTTTTGATTTGCACGATAATTACTAACCTAAATGTAATGCTATTTGGTATGGTTGGAAAGCATTTTTTCAGAGCTTTCCAACGACGTATCACACATGGGGGGTCACTATTTAAGATTTAAAAGTTGGGTTGGCTAGGACGCAGGGGGTGTGAGGGGGTGCGTCGCCAACTATGTCATTGTGATTCCCCCTCCGAATTACCGAAACGGATTTTGATTTTTTTACATATCTCGTTTATTCACTAAGAAATGGGGGGTGGTAAGTTTTCAAATTGTCACTCTGTATACATGGAGGCACAGAAAAGCTATCTGCTTATGCATGGGAGCACAAAAGAGCTACGGAAGACGAACTGGAAGAAAAAAAACCCTAGGGGCTCAGAGATATCAAGAGAGAACTTTCCAAAGTAGCCTTCTAGAATTCACGAAAAAAGTAAAAGGATCAAGTTGCCTAAATTGTAACTGAGAATTTTTGCCGGACCATAAAGAACTGACTTGGTTGGTAGGCTCTTTGTTCTTGGTAAATACTGTGTCAGGACCAGCCAAGGAATTGGTTTTTGGGCTTTCCGCCAACAGCAGAAAACTACAAAGCGGTCATGACCACTTTAAATGATAGATACGGAAACACTGATATTTTAGGAGAAGAGAAGAAAAGTTATCCATTTTTATTGAAAGAAAGAAAAGCGTTTGTAAAATAGCTCACAAAGAATCGATCGCGACAGGATCTCATTACGTTTCGGGTAATTATATTTACAACAGCCTCCCTTTCCATAAGCAGATAACTCTTCTGTGCCCCCATGCATATAATGAGTCTGACCTGACCTCCCGCTCTTTGTGTACCCTCATCCTATATAAGGAGACAAGTAATTAACCCGCTCCCGGAGCACCCCCATTCTTAACCCATTAGGGGAAAAGATTGACGATTGTATAAGTTTATTTTCAGTTGTATAAATAATAAAAGATAAATAATCATTTGTTTGGTTTGCAGTTACTCTGGCAAAACTCATTGCGAAGTTCCGCTTTAAGATGGCGTACAAAACTGACGAAAGGATTCGTTTGATGAACGAGGTTATCTCTGGAATACAAGTTATCAAGATGTACCTACACATGGGAAAAGCCGTTCACCAAATTAGTCTCGTTGGCTCGAAGGTAACTAAGTCACAACTTTTGCACGCTTTTTCACAAGCTTATACATTTTAGGAACGAAATTGGACTTATTCGTAGTATTTCGCTTTTACGAGGTGTAATTAACTCGTTCTTTGTGTTTGGAACCCCATTTGCTTTATTTATAACGTTTCTGTCATATGTTCTATTTGGCAAACATATAACAGCCGAAAAGGTGTTTGTACTAAATGCATTTTATAACGTCATTCGTCTAACCATGTGCAGTTTCTTTGTGCGTGCGGTCGAACAAGTATCGGAGGTAAATGTTTCTCTTCGTCGTCTCAATGATTTTCTGCTAAATGATGAAAAATCACAAACCATATGCAATGAAGCCGAAATAAATACTAGTAAAGATCAAATTATAATTAGTCACGCAATTGCGAAGTGGAGTGAGT